CGAACTAAAAGCGCTGGAGTCCCGTGACACATGGGTTCTCGTCGATCGTGCAGCAGTGAAGGGGAGGAGGGTGCTAAGCGGAAAGTGGGTTTTTCGACTCAAGACTAACGCTGACGGAACCATCGAACGCTTCAAGGCACGATGGGTGGTCCGAGGCTACGACCAGCGCCACGGCATCGACTTCGACCAGACTTTCGCTCCTGTCAGCCGTCACACCTCCGTCAGGATCCTACTCGCCATAGCGGCCGCTAAGCATCTGCCACTGCGACAGATCGACGTGAAGAACGCATTCCTATATGCGTTAGTGGACGCAACCATTTTCGTGGAGCAGCCACACACCTACGGAGAAGGAGATCCCAGGGTCTGCCAGCTGAAGAAATCCCTCTATGGGATCAAGCAGGCGCCTCGTCTCTGGCAGCAGCACCTGCACAAAATTCTACTGGAAATCGGCTTCAGGCAGCTGCCACACGACCCGGGAATGTACCGCCTCCACTTCAACGGCGACTACTGTCAGAATGTTATTTGTCTAGCCTGCAGTGGGGTGCTCAATAGTGAGTACAACCCCTTAGGGTTTGCTATTTGTGTGTTCTGCTGCTTGCTAGTCACCATTCATTCTTCGTTCCAATTCTCCTTCGTAAACCCTAACTCCTAGTTCTAGAGCACACCCACCTACCTCCTAGTGTGGGCCTAGGCTACTAAGCCTAGGCCCCACACCTACGATTCTAACATGGTATCTAGAGCCGGCGAGATCCTGCCGCCTAGTTCATCGGGCCCACCAACTCCTTCCGCTGTCGTACTATCCGCCGCGCGCCCCGTGGTGCGCGGCATTGCATTTTCTTCCCGCCACGCGCTCCGAACACGTGGCGGCTTCTTCTGCCCGCCGCGCGCTCGGGGCGCGCGGCGGTTATCCCGTCCGTCGAAGCGTCCTTGGGGGGGCCTGCGCGCTGCCCTCCCTGCTGCTCGTCGCGACGCCCGTGCGGGACCCGCGGGGCGTCGCCCTTACTCGTCGCGGCGCCCCCTGGGTGCTGCCCCTTCTCGTCGCGACGCCCGTACGGGACCCGCGCAGCGTCGCCCTGCTCGTCGCGACGCCCGTGCGGGACCCGCGGGGCGTCGCCCCTGCTCGTCGCGACGCCCGTGCGGGACCCGCGGGGCGTCGCCCCTGCTCGTCGCGACGCCCCCTGCGGGACCCGCGGGGCGCCGTCAGAGCCTGCAGCAGCAGCCGCCGCTCTACCAGCAGCAGCAGCCGCCGCCGCTCTGCAGCAGCAGCCGCCGCCGCCCTGCAGCAGCAGCCGCCGCCAGAGCCTGCAGCAGCAGCCGCCGCCAGAGCGTGCAGCAGCAGCCGCCGCCAGAGTCTGCAGCAGCAGCTGCCACCAGAGCCTGCAGCAGCAGCCGCCGCTCTACCAGCAGCAGCAGCCGCCGCCGCTCTGCAGCAGCAGCCGCCGCCGCCCTGCAGCAGCAGCTGCCGCCACCGAGCCTGCAGCAGCAGCCGCCGCCAGAGCCTGCAGCAGCAGCCGCCGCCAGAGCCTACAGCAGCAGCCGCCGCTCTACCTGCAGCAGTTGCCGCTGCCGAGCCTGCAGCAGCAGCCCCTGGAGCAGCCAGTCACTGCAGCAACCGCCCCTGGAGCAGCCCGCCACTGCAGCAGCCCGCCACTGCAGCAGCCGCCCCTGGAGTTTGCTAGCCTTTGTTCGAGAGTGTGGGGGTGACGGGTATGGGGGTGCTTCGTGTGCGTCGTCCCTTCCTCCTCCTTCGTCTCCCACTGCTGCAGCTGCCGCTGAGGGGGGTGGATGTGTGGGAGCCGAGGGGACTGGCGCTAGGGGGGGTGATATGGGAGTGGAGCTAAGGGTGGACCAAGGGGTGTGTGTCGAGGGGTGTGGGACTGTTGGGGGAGGTTGAGCGGAGACCGCCGTCGTGTCGTCTACAGCGCCTGTACTCCGGGGCGCTCAATCCCGGTAGCTCAGAGAGCCGGTTGCACCTGTCGCCCGTGGGTCCGTTGCTCCTGCCGCTGCTGTTCAGCCGCCGAGCCTGTTACTCCTGTATTCCGGGGCCTTTCTCCTCCCGGTAGCCACCAGCGTTGCACCAGAGCCGTCTGTTGCCCGTGTGTCTGCAGCTTCAGTCGTCGCCTCCACTCTTCTCTCATCTCGCCAGCCCTCCTCCTCCTCACTTGCCCTCTGTGACTGCCTCTAGCTCTGCTTACAATTTATAAACTATTGGTTCTTGAACTTGTGCTCAGAATGTGTGGTGACGTCGTGATCCACCCTGAGCTTGTACTGCTTTGTGTGCTCTGCTGATTACACCCCACTTTGGCTATGGGGGTGTGTCAGAATGTTATTTGTCTAGCCTGCAGTGGGGTGCTCAATAGTGAGTACAACCCCTTAGGGTTTGCTATTTGTGTGTTCTGCTGCTTGCTAGTCACCATTCATTCTTCGTTCCAATTCTCCTTCGTAAACCCTAACTCCTAGTTCTAGAGCACACCCACCTACCTCCTAGTGTGGGCCTAGGCTACTAAGCCTAGGCCCCACACCTACGATTCTAACATGGTATCTAGAGCCGGCGAGATCCTGCCGCCTAGTTCATCGGGCCCACCAACTCCTTCCGCTGTCGTACTATCCGCCGCGCGCCCCGTGGTGCGCGGCATTGCATTTTCTTCCCCGTCGACTTTCGCTCCTGTCAGCCGTCACACCTCCGTCAGGATCCTACTCGCCATAGCGGCCGCTAAGCATCTGCCACTGCGACAGATCGACGTGAAGAACGCATTCCTATATGCGTTAGTGGACGCAACCATTTTCGTGGAGCAGCCACACACCTACGGAGAAGGAGATCCCAGGGTCTGCCAGCTGAAGAAATCCCTCTATGGGATCAAGCAGGCGCCTCGTCTCTGGCAGCAGCACCTGCACAAAATTCTACTGGAAATCGGCTTCAGGCAGCTACCACACGACCCAGGAATGTACCGCCAACCACAACGACATCCTTCAACCTCAACGGCTACGTGGACGCTGACCATGCTGCTGACCCAGCAAATCGACGGTCCCGAACCGGCTTCGTTTTTCGCCTGGAGCCAACTGGCCCCATCTCCTGGAACTCGCAGAAGCAGGAGCTGGTTGCCCTGTCATCGGCCGAAGCTGAATACATCGCCGCGACAGCAGCAGTTCGCGAAGGTCTGTACCTGCAGGAGCTGTTACAGGAGGCGAAAATTCCAACCTCGCCTACCTTTCGCCTGCACTGCGACAACCAGAGCGCGATCAAGATCGCGAACAAGCCCGGGTTCGTGAACCGCACGAAGCACATCGCACTACGGTACTTCTTCGTCAAGGACGAAATCGACCAGGGCAAAGTTGACCTCGCTTACTGCCCGACCACTGAGATGGCAGCCGACTTCCTCACCAAGCGTTTGCCACGTCAGCAGTTCAAGCACTGCTCCGACCTCACCGGAGTGGTCAAGCGAGTCAGCACCCCTCGCGTCCAGGAATGAAGGGGAGTGTTACGATATGAAGTTTTATGAGAAGGCATTCCTGTATGCTACAGGAGCCGACTCTACCAAGTACGAAGTCGAGGAGTCAGAAGAGTCGAAGTAACACAGCAACCGTCTGACCAAGACCAATGCAAGCAGAAACACTTGAAGTGAAAAGAGCGGGAACAGGTTTGAAACTGATTCCCGCGCCGCACGGTTTGAATTTCGCTGGAATAAGGGAATGTACCCCTTAGAGTACATGGCTAGTCTAGGTCGTTTCGCATTCCTCTGTATTTCTATATAAACCCTATGTATGCATGCTATTATCAATCTCAGTCATTTACATTCACTCTGACCTGAGTTCACTACTTCCGCTGCGACACTACCTGCGATCAACCCTGAACGATCCTTTCGGACAAATCTCACTTCAGATTCTAACATCTCTGATTATGTGCAAAGTTTGACCCGCCCTTAGAGCGGTTGACCTACAAAAATGGCAAGGTATTTCCTTTGCCCGTTCTGTGCAATCCTAGCTTGAAGTTGGCATAAGGAAGGATTTCAGTTTCCACTTCTTATATAACCAAGCTATATCGCACAAAACCCATAACACTGTTGGTCATCTGGTTTGCTGCCAGTGCCACAGCTCCCTTTGGTGGTCCTTGCAGCTTGCTCCCTGGCGTGAACGTTCTGTTACCACCTGAATAGAATGGAGTCAATTGGACGGATCTGACACATGGCCATACGTTTTTGGTGCTTAGAGAACCATTACAGCTACAAGCCAGCTGAACGCCACACAAGACATGACAATCCGGGTTAGCCATATCTGTTTGTCTCAGTGTATTTTGTCGCGTGGTAACTACCTCCGCCCAATCGCTCTCAGATGTCTCGTCTCTTTCGGCTTCTGGACTGTCGAAATTAACAATCTGTGCTATCCAAGCATAGCCGTACTGATGTCGCGTAGCAAAATTACACCCCAGCCAGCTACCTGAAACTCAGAAAAGGCAAGTTTTCCCGCCCTCAACTGTAAGCGTCACAGAAGCTCAACAAATTACACAGCCAGTTGTGAGGTCCAAAAGTGAGAACGTGTAATTGGACCAGTATAGATCGTTAAGTACCTAGTGGGAACTCGAGAAACCGGACAGAACCGTATCCAGAAAGCTGCTTCATTTTTCACGAACTCTCCAATCCAGCATAATATCCTCAGAACCGTACTGTAAATTTTGTTTATCTGCTATCAACTTTCCTAACCGTTTCTCACCTACTTAAGTTTATCATCCCACCAGCACTCACACCTACCCAACTTGTATCCTAACTCCAGTTCCAGTTCCTCCGCCCCAATCGTCCCTCCCTACCTACACCGCATTTCGCGCTGACAACGACGATTGCTCGTATGCGAAGTCGCTGACGAGGCGGAGCGTAGTGTCTCTATCGGATCCCGACGCTAGCTCCTTACGAATTCTTCGATAGGTTCCTAAAGCCGCGCGATTAACAGGCATCGCAGGCAGCGCAGGCGTCGTTTCGTTGCAAATCCTAGATTTGTCGTCCTTAGCAATGGGGAGCATGGCGTATCGCACGCGGGTCGCGATATTGATAGGAATAGCCCTTCTAGCATCCACGTTGTTACTTATCGCGGACGGTGCGTCGACGAATGCTGGCGGCAATACGAATGGTGGCGGTTCAACGAAAAATACAGGGACTACGTCTAGCGGGTCTAGTGGTTCTAGCGGGACCACTGTTAGCGGGACAACCAATAGCGGGACCACGACTAGCGGGACCGCTTCTACGGGATCCTCTAGCGCTAGCGGAAGCACTACCTCTGGCAACGGGAACACCCAGAACAACGGGAATACCCAGAGCAACGGGAATACTGCGGCAGCTGGGAATACCGCTAATAATGGAAACACTGCCAATAGCGGGAACACCCAGAACAACGGAAATACTGCGTCTGCCGGGAATACTGCCAACAACGGAAACACCGCCAACAACGGAAACACCGCCAGCAACGGAAACACCGCCAGCAACGGAAACACCGCCAGCAACGGAAACACCGCCAGCAACGGAAACACCGCCAGCAACGGAAACACGGCCAATAACGGAAACACCGCCAACAACGGAAACACCGCCAGCAACGGAAATTCAGCGGCTGCAGGGAATACCCAGAGCAACGGGAACACGGCATCGTCAACGTCGAATTTTCTGTCTCTGCCGGTCAACGGGTGCTCTCCATCAGCTTGCCAGAATCCGTCACTGGGATTCTACAAGGGCACGTTTCAGCAGGCGTCGAATGCGGCTGCCGTTCAGAACATGAACTACGGCGAATACGTACGTTGCGTGTAGTTTCATTCTGATCTGTTATCGGGTATGCTTCTCCGCATCCCCTTCTCCCACTGCACCCTAACGAGCGCCAGCGTTGGGCTACTCGAACGAGCCAAGTCTGGTGATCAAATCTGGGTCAAATCTTTTTCTTTCTCTGCGCCAGCATTGGTCGACATCTACCACGCCCACCCACATTCCGCACCTCTCCCTACTCCGGCTTCCCCTCCCCTCTCCTTTCTCCCTCTCACTTCCTTCAACTCACCCCTCCGTCTCTCCTTCTCACCTACCTCTCATCCCTCCCTTTTTCCACTCCTTCCTCTCACTCCCGAATAGAATATACGGGACGCGAATCACCTCCGACCTTGCCACTCAATTCCCTCACCTCTCCTCTTCAACTCACCCATTCGTCTTTCCCTCCCTTCCTCTGCCCTTCTTCCCCCCCTTTCCCTCTCCCTGTCTTCCCTCCTCTCCCCCCCCAATCAGATCTACGGCACGCGAATCAGCTTCGACCTCGCCAAGTCATCCACTGCCGAGAATCACGCTTCCTTCACCGTCTTTCCCTTTCTTCCCTCTCCCTCCCTTCCCTCCCTCTCCCTCCGTCTCCCTCCGTCTCCCTCCGTCTCCCTCCCTCTCCCCTCCCATCCCATCAGATCTACGGCACGCGAATCAGCTCCGATCTCGCCAAGTCTTCTACCGACGTAAGTCGCGGTTGCGTAACCGCGTGCCCAGCCGCGTACCCTTTCGCCGTCCCTTTCGCCATCCCTTTCGCCATCCCTTTCGCCGTCCCTTTCGCCTTCCCGTCCAGTCGTTCCCGCCCCCAACCTTTTCTCTCCCCTCCCATTCCCCTCTCCCTCCCCTTCCTCTCTCTATTATCCTCGTTCGCCCCCCGTCCCCACCACTTCCCCCCTCCTTCCCCCCCATTCCCCTCCTCCACACCTTCTGTTTGTTGCCATCACGCCCTTGCTTCCGTCTGTTTCTTTTCGCTTTTTTCTCTCTGTTAATCTCGTCCCCCTGCACTCCCCCTTCCCCCCCACTCTCCCCTCCTTCCCGCCCCCACCACCTCCCCTTCCCCTCTCCTTCCCACCCCCTCTCTCCACCCCCCTCCCCTCTCCCAACCCCACACACCTTCTCGTCGTTGCCGTCACGCCCTTGCTTCCGTCGGTTTCTTCTCGCGTTTCACTCTCTGTTAATCTCGTCCCCCTGCACTCCCCCTTCCTCCCCTTCTCCCCCCACTTCCCCACTCCCTCTCCCCCCCCCACCTTCTCATTGCCTCACGCCCTTGCTTCCGTCTATTTCATTTCGCTTTTCACTCCGCACTCTCTCTCCGCTCCTCTGCTTTGCAACTCACCAATCCTCTTCCCCTCCTCTCCTCCGCTGTTCTCTCCTCCCCTACTCTCCCCTCCCGTCTCCGCATTCCCCCCTCCCCCCCTCCCCCCCCCCCCCCCTCTCCCCCTCCCCGGTCTCTCCCCCCTCCTTCCCCCTATGACAGGCAAAGACCTTCCCCGACTGCTGCACGGACTGCGCCAACACCGCCGCGTGCCACTATTTCCAGTTCTACACGCCTGAGTAAGTTTCGACACGCTTGCCCGCTGAACCGCATAGCATCTCATTGCACCGTATTGCACCGCATTCTACCGCAGTCTGCAGCACTCTCTTGCTTTGCTGCACGGACTGCGCCAACACCGCCGCCTGCCACTATTTCCAGTTCTACACGCCAGAGTAGGTTCCGCTGCGACTCTCCATCGCTCTGCACCGCTCTTCAACCCTTTGCACTTCTCTGCACTGTTTCCATCGCATTGCACAGCAAATTGCCGCACTCCCTTGCTTTGCTGCACGGTCTGCGCCAACACCGCCGCCTCCCACTATTTCCAGTTTTACACGCCAGAGTAGGTCGCATTCCACCGCACTCCACCGCATTGCTGCACCGCACTGCACCGCGGTCTGCACTCCAACCATCCCCTCCTCCCAATCCCCCCAACAACCACCCATTCCCCCTTTCAGTTCTCGGCACATGTGCCCCTTTCCCTTTCCAGCACTTCTCTTCTTTCCCCCGTCCTCCCCCTCCCTTCCCCCCCTTGCTCCCCGCCTCCTCTCCCCCCCTCCCCCTCGTCCCTTCAGTTCCATCTCATCCGCCCCTGGCAGACAAAAGAAGTCCTTCCTGCTCTCCGAGGCACCTGCACCCCCTTGATCCTTACAATTCTGTTCCCTCCCCTATCCTTCCCCAACCCCTTCCCCCCCATCCCTTCCCCTCCCCCACTCTCCAGTTCCATCTCATCCGCCCTTGGCGGACAAAAGCAGTGCTTCCTGCTTTCCGAGGCAACTGTGCCCCCCTTACCCTAACAGTTTTGTTCCCTCCCCCTGCACCCCTCCCACTCCCTCCCCCACCCTCCTCCCCCCCCATCCCTTCCCCCCACCCCCTCCCCCCTTCAGTTCCATCTCATCCGCCCCTGGCGGGCAGAAGCAGTGCTTCCTTCTCTCCGAGGCGCCGGCTGGCCTGGCCATTAGCGGGCCTCTTAGCTAGTAAGTGCACCGCTTGCCCTTTTCTTCTTTACTTTTTTTGAATTTCAAATATACATTGACTTCTCAACCCTCCCCCTCCCTCCCCCTCCCATTTCCCCCATCTCCTCTCCCCTCTCCCCTCTCACCCTCTCCCCCCCCCTCTCCTTGCCCTTTATTTTATTCTTCGTTCTCGATTCCTTATGCTTCTGCAATGCATTCAACCTTGCTGATACAAATGTGTCGAATGCAATGTATTGTCTTTTATGAAATGCTTGCCGTATGAAATCTGTTATAACTGTTTCCTTCTGTGTCTTCAATGCGTTGCTTATCCTGCCTTTATCCTCTGCTTTCCCTGTCCCTCCCTCCATCAGTGTTGGCGGTTTCTGCAACCCCCCTGCTTCAGCCACGCAGCAGCCATCCCCCTCAACCACCTCCTCCGGCTCCACCTCTTCCTCCACCTCCTCTTCTTCCTCCCCCTCAGACTCCTCTTCCTCCTCCAGCACTACTGCTCCCACAGTCTCTGTCACCTCTCCCCCTCCTCCCGGCGTGAAGGGCGATCCGCATTTCGTGGGGTGGGACGGAGTGCACTTCGATTTCACCGGCCAGCCCGGCCACAGCTACTGCATGCTTTCCGACAACAACGTTCACGTCAACATGTATTTGGATGGTTACACGGAAACTAGCGCGAAAGGCGTTAAGGAGACACACTCGTGGATCAAGGGTCTCGGGTTTATCACGCCTAATCATAAGCTCGCGCTGTTCGCGAAGACGAGCGCGAGTCCCGCGCGAAACGGCGGGTATATGAAGCGGATTGTGCTTGACGGCCGGGAGTTTAATTTGACGGAGGGGAACAAGTACGGGACGGCTGATGGGGAAATCGAGATTGAATTTGACGAGGCCGGGAGGAAGGACGGGGAGGAGGAGTCTGACGTGTACACTGTATCTGTGCGCGACACGCTGAAGATTCTCCTGCGCATGCGTCCGGAAATCGGGGGAGTTCGACGCCCGGAGGATTCGTTCATCCACTTTTCGATGGAGATTTTAGACGAGCAGCTGTCTACACGCACGCATGGAATTCTCGGCCAAACACTGTACAATCTGAACTATCCCGAAGCGGCTCCAACCGGATATGACGTGGAGTACAGTGGGGTGGTTTGGGCGTGGCAGGTGGTGGGTGCTGACGCGGAGAATTACATTCAGGGGACCCCTTCGGATTACGTTACGAGCCACCTGCTGACTTCGGATTGCCGTTTCTCGAGGTTCTCCCGCCGGGGTCTGTTCCACTCCGCGCTCTCCCTTGGCTGCTGGCGCAAGGGATTTGTGTGCTGAGCTGTATGGGTGATTTGTGTTCTGATCCGGCACAAGGGCTGATGTGCTGAAGTGGCATGCCTGGTTTCATTGACAGGTCATCTGATGGTTCGTCTGCTGTGTTTGGTTCACCTACAATGGCAATGTGGGTCGGCAACACACTAGAGAACCCCTTCCTCTTCCCTTCTCTTCCAACTATTGTTGTGGCCCTGACAATCAGCATCCTGTCAACTCAACTGGTCATCACCGGATAGCCTGGATAGCCATGGCCATCTGGGTCGGGGATTGCAGACTCGGGCATTTAAAAGACATTTGCTTTATGCTGCTTGCTTGTATGAGTATGTTACAGCTCAACTAATGAGTATGTTCTGGTGGTGCCAGCCTCGTGCTATTTGTTGACATTTGTTTATTTGATTGCTGTTGTCACATGCAATAGGTTGTGTGTTATGGAGGAACAATACTACATCTGCATCATATGCAAGTCGTGGCTGTCGATACATCTGTTTGAGTAGACAGGGCCTGTTCTCTGTAAGAATCTTTTCACAGCATACCTCTTCAAATATCTCATCACACACCCCGGTGGTTTTTCTTTACTGGCCCTGCACTACAAGATTTTGCGACGCCATCTATCTAGTGTCTTATTATCGTTTAAATCGCTCATAAATATCAGTAATTGTATAATGCTTGCGCTAACCTTATACAGCACCACATCCCCGATCTTCTTGTGGGATGGCCACTGGCACCTATTCACCGTTGATTTCTTGCAGACCGCGAGATTGTCGTTTGTGAGGTAGACAGCTGTCTCGAGTGACCTGGCTGTCTTTCATAGTCCCCAGCATTCTCCCCCTTCTCCCTCGGACACAGCCCAAATTCGTTCTGGCACTTGCGTCAGCTGTAACAAGTACGACAGTGGATGATCTGTACAGTTTTTTTGTACGTACACCTAGCCACCGCTATTTTCAACTTCCCACCTTGGCACTGTTCCCGATTTTCATATAAACCCTGCCCAGCTTTCGGGGTTTTCTGTTAGAAACCTCGGTATGGGGGACTACGAATGACGTCAAATGCTGGACGCTGGAGATTGTCGGGCGAGTGTAAGACAATTTCCGCTCGTGTGGAGTCTGCTTCCTGTTGCGCATCCCATTGCGCAGCTTTCAGGAGTCAGGAACTAACTCTGCGTAGAGCGTATGACGTCCGACACAACCCTTGGTAAAAAATGTTTGAGGGGTGCATACCCCTTTGCGCACGTGGGGGTTGAAAATAGACCGAAAGAAAATAGCGGTGGTTAGGTGTATCAACGTAACAAGTGACACGTCAGACGAGTCCCTCGACAAATCCACTTCTGTTTCTGCTTGCTTGCTGCTTCTTCCCTCTTTGCCTGCAATGCAAGCTCAAGGCCGACAGGATGACATGGCAAGCAATGCCTGGAATGTTCTTGCGGTGCAGATGCAACATTAGCCCGTCCTCGTGAATGTCGAAGGTATCCCAACATGTATTTGCTTTCCCCTGTAATCCGTAAAGCTGCAAATTCACGATTTGTTCTGTCTGGTACATATTCTTCGGTTTCCCTGCTCTTGGGTAAACCCAAAATAAGTCCCTCCATTTCTCCTCCCTCTTCCACCGCCTCCCAAGCGTGCAGGTCGAACCGCACAAGAGCGAATGAAACGAGACCACATATATTTCGCAATATCTCGTCCTTCATCAATGCGATATTTTTCGTCCAATTTTCGAACATCCCCGGAGCAACCCCTTCCCGTCTCCTATTCCCCCATCCCTTCAAGCCAAATGCAATGCACCGCGACGCGACTCGATGTACCATACTCTGCAGTACAGTAAACCACTCTCCTGCGCTTATCCCCCGTCAGTTCTTCCTCCCTTGCCGTACATCCCGTCCAGTCCTGCCCCCAAATCCAACCGCAGCCACCTGTCGCCCCGCCGCCATCCGTCCGTCCAGCTCGGATCAGCGGGAGGCTAGTACTGTATCTATTTTTTGCCTTGCCTTTCCTGGCCTGGGTTCAAGTCAAGGGTCTAGATTTAGAGCCTTTCGAAGCAAAGCAGCATCAGAGGCACCTGGAGCGGCAAGGCTGTTGAGCACTTGCACTTGTGGCTTGTTTTCCGTTTATATAATAACGGCTGGCGCTCATCATCCTTCGTGCTCTCCGCCTTCACACACACTCCGAGCTAACTAGGAGGTATTTCCTACACGTTGCTTCAGCAACGTGACGTTCTGCTTAGCTACGCTTGAGTCGGTGCATTGTCGGAGCAATTCGTACAGTTGGTTGCTCAAGTCGAAAGCAGGGACGCACTCTCTTCGTTTTCGCTTCGACTTTTGCTGCCTCTGAGGTCCCGCAGCCTTCTGCTAGTAACAACATTTCGTGACCGCTTATATCTCCGAGAAAGTACACATTCGACGATTAAGGTCTAGGCCTGAATGAATTAGTCTTAAAAAGTCGTCCTCGTCAGCCGTTGTCAGGCTTCGACTACCGCCTTCAGCCACCGTCACCCGCCGTCAATTACCGTCGTCCTCTGTCAACCGCCGGTTCACCGCTGTCAACCATCGTCGTCCTCCATCAACCGCTGGTTCACCGCGGTCAACCTCCGTCAGCCTCCGTCAACTCCGTCAACACAATGGCAGAAAACCAGTTCCTCTCGACCCGCTACACCAGCTGGTGCCCCGCACCCAGGAGCGCGGACACCGCCGAAGAGCCATGTTCGACAGCGCGGGGATTCGATCCCCTGATCTTTGAAGATGGGGACGAAGGCGACATGAGTTACTCGTACGAAGCGAACGTGGCGGAGTATGTGGAGTCGCTCGCTGTCGCCGCGCACGAGAACCAATGGACAGGTACGCACTGATTGTAGTCATTAAGTGCTCATACGCTTCAGAGTTCTAAATGTAGCACTTTAATTGCTCTCCTTTCGACGCGTGCGAGTTGCTCACCTGTTCCCCCTCCCCTGTCCTTTCCCCTTCGATTCCCCTTCCCCTTTCCTGCTTCTCTCTTCAGAGTTGGAAGCGTCGTGCGAGATTCTCGATCAGGCGGGAGTCGCTATTGAGGAGATCTGCCTCACCCACGGCATGCCGTCCGCCTTAATCTCCGTATCCTCCATCCCGGAGGTCGACGAAACATCCGAGCAGTTTCACGATGTGCCTGCTGCTTGCGCCTCCTCCAACGCATCAACTCCGCGCCACGACAATTCCCCTGGACTTTTCTCCCCGGTGGTTTCAAAATTCAGCCGCACGTCGCCAGCTTCGGGTGCGGGTGTACCCGTTATAAGGACGACGCGGTTTGGTGGTGGGATGAAACACTCCGCTTCGGTACCTGCACTCGACAGTCTCGCTTCGAATGGATCAAGCAGTGACCTTGTCCCGAATCAGGTGTACTACGTGTCAAATCAATCGCTACACTCCATCCCCGCTACAGTCAACGACGGCAATCACCGAACTTCCTGTATGAAGCACTCCGTTTCCGTCCCCGCTCTCAATCACCTCGCCATACACGAACATCTCCCATCCGTCGGCCAACTCATCCAGCCCGTTACAAGCAACCGCCGCTTAATATCACAACCATCCAACGTCTCGCTCCAGAGTAACGACAGCAACGGCTATTTTGCCGCAGATTGCGGCGACGACAGGGACCTAACGACCCTGAGACGAGTGCCGTCAGCAGCTCTTAGCGCGTGCGACTTCGGTAGCAGCAGATATAGCAGTCGCGTGCCGTCCCGCGTGCATTCAGTCGCAGATCTGCAGGCGGCGACGTTCGCCACTGCGGCTTCGCCAATTCCTGCTGGTTTGGCAAAAACCAGATCGTTTTCGCAGGAGTCGCGCGCACACACACCGTCTACCGGAGGCGAGCGACAGGGTAACCAGTTTCGCGCTGGCGGACTTGCTGTTGGAGTTGGGTCTGTGGATTGCAAGGAAGCAGAGGTCGCGGCTTTATGCCAAGGGAACATCACGAGCGTCGCAAGCAGCAGCAGGAGCAATCAGGGTAACATCTCGCGTAACGGCAGCAGTGGAAGCGGCGGCGGCGGCGGAGGAGGAGCAGGCACGCGAAAGGTTGGTGCGGTGCGCTCTATGAAGAAATTGCTCGCGTCGCTGTTTGAAACGGAGAGGAAGATGAGCGTCAAAGTGTGGACGGGCGGAAACCCTAATGCGATCGACTTGCATGGTAGCCCGATCAACATGGCGACACAGGGATACGGAGCGCCTGCGATAGTTCGAGCTGGCTACAGGGAGAGCGTGCCGGCACGGAACATGCCTAAGGAGCTGATGCGGCACCTGGAAATGCCAGTCGCTCAGTGAATCGCAGAGTTGGACTAGATGCTGCTGAACAGGTGCCATTTCTCTGCAGTGCATGAAATAGATGCAATGGCCCAATGGAGCTGCTGCCGTCAACTAATCATGTCATAACAGGCGCCAGCAGGAGCCTTTTTACCACCTTGAGTGTTGATCCCGTTTAGATACATAGTTCGCTGTTCCCGTAAAAAAAAAATTGTGTTGCACAATTTGACCGTTTTGTTGTAAAGAGATGTTATTTGTTTGGTTTGTTAATAAATGACCGTTCTGTTATAAAACGATGTTATTCGTTTGGTTTACAATTAAAACATCTTACTAAAGTTTTTTAGCAAGAGAAAGAAACAGGAGATCCAATTCAAAGTCCAACACCAACTTCTTTTTTAATATTGCAATTCTTCGTACCCTTTCCCTTTTAGAACAGGTCTTGTGTAATAGAAAACTACTTTTTTACTAGTCAATAACGGAACACGTTCCATGTGGGTGACGGAGGTTTTCGTGCAGCTCCAAAACCATGCCTTCTTGAAAGAACGTGGGGCTTGTGATTCGGGTTATGCAATCTCAACCGCAAATCTCACCTCCGAACGCGGGAAGAGTTCCATGTGTAAACTCTGTTACACTGGTCCTTCACCGCGGCTTGGCGCAAGCATCCCACACACACGCGAACATGGGCCGCATCGGCGATTCGGGTCTTGACAATGTCTTTGATGGGCGTTTCTGTTTTGTGCTGCTTGGCTTCCCCTTCGCATGTCTCTCGACTGAACTCATCAATCCAAATTCCAGACCAGGATGAGAAATGAGAGCATGGGCAACATGCCATTTCAGGGCGAGATCCTATGACTAACTGTGGAGAGTGTGGTAAGAGAAATTGACATCCATTAGTCGCTCACCGAGAGAGAGCTTGAGGCGCAGTGGGTCAATCGATGACAGCAGCAATTATCCGCGCTGGCTGCTCTTCTTAGTTAGGACTTCTCACCCGGATTCTTAGCCTATCTAGCCTATCTAGTTTGGCGGGCCGCCAAACGCATCCGAAGTCTATTCTCTCAGTGCGTCAAATCTGGAGTCATGCCGCCCACTGCAGGCGTAGCCGCGCACCCGCCACACGCGTATCGCGTATGGATCCCTCCCCCCGCTGCAATCACGCCCGTTACAGCCACTCACCCGCAGCATTTTCACCCCTCTCGCGCGTATTTCGAACCTCACGTGGATCCATTAGGGGAACAGATTGCGGAAGAACGCGCGCTTGCAGAGGACCGCGCGCGCGCCGCGTCGAAAGTAGGCCAATGGGTCGACGCGCATTTCTCCGTTCCACCCGCCGCACCTGACGGCGCGATTTCCGGCCATGGCACAGAGGGTTACCCGTTCCCGTGCGAGCCAGAAGCGGCGGAAGAAGGGGGAGAAATGAACGGTGAAGATGGGAGCATAAACGGACGGCGGAGATCGTCTTTGGAGGACGAGGCGCTAGAGCGGAAGCTGGCAGCCGTTGAGATGGAGAACTGCGAGATGACGGGGCGAGTGGCGGGACTAGAGGCGATGCTGCGCGAGCGGGAAAGGGAAACGGCGGACATGCGACGGCAGATATTTGCGTACACGCAGGTCAGGGTTTGCCTATATTGGGTATAATGAGGGTTGCTGCAGTGAGGAGAGACAGAGACCTCCTTTTCTGTCGGAACACGTACGGAGCAGGCGCATATTGTGGCGTAAAAGCGGTTGTCGAGGTGGCATGTACCGTGTGCAAGTAGGTTCCTGGGAAGCTTTTTGAACGCAGACCTGTGAGGGGCTTGTAACGGGTACAAGCGGGCGAGGGGCAAGCGGAGCAAGCGACGGTTATATAAAAGGGCAAAGCTAATGTGTAGAGAGAATATATTGAGGCTAATCCCCCTTTATCCCCCCTCCCCACCACCCCCCCTTCCATTCCCCTCTCTCGTTGCCCTGCGCACGCGCAGACACTCGAAGCGGGCGCGGCTGACTCACACATAACTTCCCCGCTTCCTCCCTTCACCTGTCCCCTTCCCATCCCCCTCTTTCTTCCCCCGTCCCCTCCCCAACCTTCCTCTCCCCCTCCCTCCCTCCCTCCCTCCCTCCCTCCCTCCCTTCCTCGACCCGCGACAATCTCAGGCGCTCGAAGCGGGCCGCGGCGACTCGTTGACGCGCGCGGAGCTGATTAACCACGTGGTGCAGCTGACCAATCAGGTGCAAGAGCTCGCGCAGGAGCGCGATGCGCTGCGCAACGCCCCCAACGGCATTGCGCTCACCTACGGCCTCCGCGCGCCGAGCGCGCTTACTGGCGGAGGCGCCATCGGCGGAGGTTACGGCGGAGGCGGCGGAGGTGGGGGCATTGTTGCCGCTCCCCCTTCCGCTAATGCACCTCCGCTGACCCAACCCCGCGCTACAACTGCCGCGGACGGCGCTTCCGCTGGCGCTGGTTCTGGCGCCGCCCGTGCGCTAGCCGCTGCTGTTACAAAACCCTCCCTTCCCTCTGCTGCAGCTGCACCTGTTGCTTCTCTTTCTACTCCTACCGCTCCTGCCGCTGCTCCTGCCTCTGCTTACTCTTCCGCCGTGCCTGAAAAGGCGCTTTCGCATGTCCCGGCAGCCAGTCAGCTGCAAACTTCAGCGTCGCGAGCCGCGTACCGGCCGCCGCCTTCCACACTCGACGTCCCTAAAGACGTACTTCAGAAACCGCTCGTACCGCCCGCCGGCTCTCACCCAGTGGTAAGTTCCTGCTACCGCGCGCCGCCGGCTCCTTTAGATGTCTCCAAAGATGTGATATCCGCGCCGCCTCCACATGAGATCCTGACCGTTGATCGCGAAGAGAGTGCACCTGTGGTCGCGCGCGACCAAGCGCAGCAGCGGGTAAATCCCTCTGCGATTTCCGCCTCCGCTTCTGCCTCCGCCTCTGCTTCTGCTTCTGCTACCGCTTCCGCTTCCGCCTCCGCCTCTGCCTCCGCCTCTGCCTCTGCCTCTGCCTCCGCCTCTGCCTCCGCCTCCGATTCCGTCCCCGCTTCCGCTTCCGCCTCAGCCGCGAACATTTCTCGCGATGTCGCACCGCCGGTCCAACGCTCCCAGTCGCTGCACGCGTCTTCCCAGCCCGTCAATAGCGCGGCGGGTAGCACGGTTAACGGCTTAGCTCTTAGCGGGGACACTTGCTCTAGGTCCTTGTCGCGGCAGCCCGAATCGCGACCGTACATTCTCACCAGCTCATCGCAGCCGTCCGTTCGGCCAGAACCGAGGGTTCCAAACTTGTACAAAGCCGCGTTTGCCGCTCCGCACTTCTCGCCGCAACTGGCACCACAGCCGGCGTCGCAACCAGCGCCGCAACCGGCGCCGTTCGGTGCGGTGCAAGTGGTGGGGCCGCAGATCAGCCGCGTCGGGTCCATGCCGCTTCCTCTTGTCCAATCCGCTTCGAGCATTTCCGGCCGCACCGCCAATGCCGGCGGCTCTCTTGTGCGCGCGGGATCTGTTGGGGGGAGCGTGGGCGGAGTTGAAGGCGCGCGGAGCGGTGGAGCGGGCGGAGGAGGGCTTGGCGGAGGAAGGGCGGGTGGAATGGGCGGGAATGGTGGGGGAGTGGGGCCGATGAAAGCGATGCCTGCTAATCCGTTTGAAAGGCCGAACGTGTCTCACTACAGTCAGGTGAGCTGTTCTGTTTTTCGAGTACATATACATATTCACAGACAGACACATTTTCAGTTTCGATTCTGAATCTGATGTGACACATTCAAGGTTGTTCAATGGCAATCTCACTACACATCCATAAAGTAGAAGGTCGATTGCTTCTACAATACTTTGGATTGAATATGTATTCTTACCATCAATTCTGAGTTATTACCTACCACAAAAAAATAGCAAATCTCCTAGCTCATTCTCTTGGTAAAACACAACCACTTCCCCCTCCCCCCCATCCCTTCTCTTTACCGCTCCTAATGCCCTTTCTACAGGCCCTCGTATCGTACATCCCCCCACCGCCATCAGTGGCAGCAGCAGCAGCAGCAGCAGCAGTAGCAGCAGCACCAGAAAATCATCCCCCCAGCCGCCTGGCGCTAGCCCTTGCACCCTCCGCCCCTCCCCCCATCCAGCTCGTTCCGCCCATGCCTGGCGCCATGCCCGCTGCCCCCCTGCCGTTCAGAAGGCCAGGGGGAGGGGGAGGGGGAGGGGGAATGGGGGGAGGGGGAGTAAGAGTGTGGGGAGCGGCAGTAGGGGAACAGGGGAGGGGTATTCCGATGGTTGCTGTTTACCCTGATGCTGCTCCCACTGGTCTTATGGCTGTCAGATCAGCCATTCAGGGGCTGACACGTGGCACTGTAACAGTCAGTGGCAGCAGCAGCAGCGGAAGCAGTTTTAGCGGAGGGAGTGGGGAACAGTGTGAGAAGGCTATTAAGCAGCTAGAGATGCTGCTTAAAACGGGACGGGTTTCAAGGGCGGATATTCTGGCTGGCGTGCACGAGAAGTGTACAGTGCTGCTTGAACAGGTGAGATGAGCTTATCTATCATGGGAGGGAGTGTAATGTGTGCAACTTGAAAATGACAAAGGTGTTTGTATCTCTTTTTATACTTCCACCTTCTTCGCTCCATATCTGTCTTTCCGTTCCGCTATTGTCCCACGCAGTGTGCTTAGTTTGTGTTCAGTTTTCATTCTTTAGTGTGAAGCCACCGTTGTTTTGAACTTATGTAGACATATTACCTCTTACCTTGTCTGGACTTTTGCCTACTTCCTGTTCTCTTATATCTCTTACAGGCAGGGTTCTAACAACTCATATGTGTCTTTCCTTCCATGTGTGTACCTTTTTTTCGTCATTCCATCCTCAGATTGTCCCCCCTTCCCGCTCCAATCCTCTTGTACGCCTTATAAGCAAGGGCATATCGCACGCTACAAGCACCACCATATCTACGCCTCCCACCGAAGAGCTATTCCAATCTGACCCCTCCTCCTGTCTCATTGGTTCCCTCCTCTCCGCTATAGTCACACTCTCTTGGAGCCCCTCTTCATGCTTCTTCGATATAAGCATCAAGCCTGTAGCGAATATTACTGTACGCCGGCTACTGCTGATAGATTTTCTGAACGCGGTGTTTTGGCGAGGAGGGAAGGTGTGCGTGGGCGCGGCTGTGGAGGGGTTGGGAGGGGTACGGAGGATTGACAAGTGGATTGGTGTTCGGGAAGAATCGCTGCCTTCCTGTCAAGAGCTTGCTGGCTGCAAGGTAAGTTTTGGAGAGTAAGATGCGTGCTGCTGCTGGATTGAGTGGGATTAGGATGAATATGGAGAGGTGTGGAAGGTTGACAAGTGGATTAGTGTGCGGGAGGAATCGCTACCCTTCTCTCAGGAGCTTGAAGGCTGCAAGGTGAGGTTTCCCGCTTCTGTCTTTTATTTGAGATCAGGAGGGTGATGTTGGGTCGGAAGGGATGCGGAGAATTGACAATTGCTGATCTCAAGATCTTGCTGGGTACAATCGGAGATGGGAAGACTTGCTGCCCTCCTCTCAAGAGCTTGCTGGGTGCAAGGTGATTTCTTTTGAGAGTTAGAATGTTGGGTGATGCTGGGCTGGGATTGCGGTGGGATGAGAACGGTGGGAAAGGTTGACAGACGGCCTGGGGGGCGTGCGAGGAGGGAAGGGCTGGGTTGACTGGTGAATTGCATGTGGGAAGAATCGCTGCCTGGATGCAAGGTGAGGTTCCCAGCTTGTGTTTCCAGCAAGGTGGCTTTTTACCTGCAAAGTGAGGTGCTGTTTGGTTCAGTGGGATTCGGATGGTACGGAAGCGGTGCAGAGGCGTAATTTTTTTGTCTCAGGAGCTTGCTGGCTGCAAAGTGAGCTCTTGAATAGCAATGTTAGTGGATTGAGTGGTGCTGCTGGGTTGAGTGGGATTTAGATGAAACGAAAGTGGTGCGGAGGGTTGACGTGTGGCTTAGGTGGCAAGTGGGGTTGATCGTTGGATTGGTGTATTGAAGGGATTGTCGCCTTCCTTCAATACAGTATTGAAACAAATGCTGGACTGACTTGCCCTCCTTGGAAGGTTTCTGGCTGCTGAGTGAGTCTTCCGGCTTGCAGCAGGGTCAGCACGTGCGGAGTGTGGGGTGGAGTAGCAAGTTGCATGGTGCGCAGGGTTGTTGATAGACAAGGTAAGTTCATGTGGTAATAGGTATGGGGATGGTGAGTGTGGAGCAGCTTCCCTGGCCCATCCCTTTTGAGGCGCCTCAAGTATTTAGGAGGCGCCTCAAAGTTGTTGATGGGCAAGGTAAGATTGCGTGGTACTGGTCATGGGGACTTGTGAGTGTTGAGCATATTCCCTGGCCCTTCTCATAGCATAGAAGCCCTTTTCTACTCTCAGTCTCCTGCTACTTATTTTGAGTCGACTCCAAACACGAATCAGTATCAGTTGATCAAAACAAGACTCAATTCACATGGTTATGGGGACTGGTGAGTGTGGAGCAACTTCCTTGGCTTATCCCATGGAAACCCTTTTCTGCTCTCTCAGTCTCATGCTACCCTCAATCCACCCCCATTTCGCTCTTCCCTCTCTCTTCTGACAAACATATACACTCATGCTTGTATATGCGTTAGTTTCATTGCATGTTGATGTCTGTTTCTTTACGTTCTCATGTTATTTGGATGTGCATTCCCTCACTGTATCCATCAGGTTTTGGTCATGGTCAACACAAAAGCAGGTGCACAATACAAGAGAAAGTGGGTGTTTGGAAAATAAAATTGTCCAACATATTTCAAGTACGGAGCTCTCAAGTTACGAAGAACTACCCATCTTTTTGAATCAGGACGATTTGTTTTTTCTGCTGTTTGTGAATCTCACACACATCTCAAAACTTTTTTGTAGGGAAGAGCCCCTTTGATTTGCGTGTGTATTATGTCTAGTAACGAAACAGATTCGACCAAAATGTTTGCCTTCGAACGCAACGCACCTCACTGTAACGAATTATTTTGCCCTCCAGCACTTCGCAAAACCACCGCACACACCTACCACCACCGCACCACCATCACCCCACCAGCATCGAATCCATTTCCTCCTACCAAAACCCTCTCCCGCCCCTTTCTAGTGTTTTCCGCGCACATGGGAACGAAACCCCTTCGTTGCAGAACGCTCGTTATCGAGTTTCGTTCCGCTTCTGATCCTTGTGTTAGGCTTTCATAGTTAGTCGAATCGTTCCGTCATCGTCGAATCATCATCATCAAATCGTCATTGTCGAATCGTCAATCAGCCAGTCGCCATGGCGAAGCACAAGGCGTCGACGAGCCGCCTCAACAAGATTGAGACGCGCAAAAAGGCGAAGCGCGAGAAGCGCAACCTTCGCGACCGCCGCCGCCGCGCGATCTCCTTCGCAGTTGCCGCCGCGAATCTCGGGGCGGAGACGCAGGACCTGCTCGTGCCGTCGACGCAGCAGCAGCGAGCGGCGCCCGCGAAAGCCGGCGGGGAAGCTTCGAAGAAGCGGCGGAAGGCGAAGCCGGCGGGGCTGCAGATCTACTGGCATTTGGCCTCCGTGAAACGCGGGCCGCGAGAAACGGCGGCGGTGGCGCTGGTTTCGGAGTTGACGACGGCCCAAAAGGCGTACCTGCGCGCGCAAGGCGGTGGGGAGAAGGGTGCGGGGAAGAAAGAAAAGGGGATTGTGAAAAACCCTAGCGGAAATGGGACGGCTAAGGGTTCATGGCTTAAGAAGGGTTCAGAGGAAGAGAGTTCGGAAGAGGAGGAAAATGAGGAGAGTGAGGAGGAAGAGGAGGCGAGTGAGGAGGAGACAGAGGACGAAGAGGAGAGTGGGGAAGAGGAGGAAGAGGAGGATGATGAAGAGGAGGAAATGGAAGAAGAGGAGGAGAGCGAAGAGACGAAGGGTGTTTTGAAGCTGGAGGGGTGTTGCGACGAGATTAATTACGCCGTTAAGAGGCTGATTAGAGGCCTTGAGTCGTCCCGCGGGGTAAGCTTATGAGTCGTCTTGAAGTTGACCGAGTTATCAACTGTGAATCGTTCCGCGCGTTCGTTCCGCGCGTTCGTTCCGCGGAGTCATTCCGCGCAGCCGTTCCGCGCATTCGTTCCGCGCATTCGTTCCGCGCATTCGTTCCGCGCATTCGTTCTATGGCCCTCGCCGCTTGCCTCTACGCGCTGCCCTCTCTGCACGCTCACCTGCCCGCGATCGCTGCTGCTATTGACCATTAAATCCCTTTCCCCTCGCGGGTGGAGAGGGGGCAGGCGGGACCTCTTTCCCCTCTCCATCCCCGCCCCCGCCTTCTTCCCCCTCCCCCCTCATGGGCGCAAAGCACTCGCTGTCTGCCTCCGCGCGCCGCTTCCGCTTATGCAACTCTCTTCGCCTCCCTGCCCCTGCTCCTGCCCCCGCCTCCCCCTCTCCTTCCCTGCCCCCACCAGGGCGCAAGGCAGGGCTACCCTCTTTGCACTCGAACCTGCCTGCTATTGCTGCTGCTGTTGACCGTTAAACCACAATCCCTCCCCAACTCCCCCTCTCACATAGGGCGCAAGGCAGGGTTACTCGGTGGCCCTCGCTGCCTGTCTCCGCGCGCCGCTTCTGCTAATACAACTCTCTTCGCCCTCCCTGCCCTCCCCCTCCCTCACCAGGGCGCAAGACAAGGCTACTCGGTGGCGCTCGCAGCCTGTCTCCGCGCGCTGCCCTCTCTGCACCCGCACCTGCCTGCTATTGCTGCTGCTGTTCCGTTGCTCATCCCTCTCCCCAACAACGCCCGGGGAAAGGTGAGCTCTGGGTATTGTTCGTAACACGGATGCAAGTGGGTGTATGAATCTTTTTTTTTTCCAAATAAAGAGAAGTTCAGCATTACTCCGTGTATTTTTTTTGGGGGGGTGGGGGGGAGGGAGGTGAAAAAGCATTTGATGTTGTTCCTTTATTCCCCCCCCCTTTTCTTTAGGGTTTTTATTTCTTTTTAAGCGCTCTTTTTTCGCATGTTTGCTATCACTGCTCTTATCAGGAACGGCCTGCTCGCCTCCCGAGCGGCTTTCCCAACCCTCCCTTTTCCCCCTCCCACTGCTTCCTCCCCCATGTCGCCTCTGAAGCCCTTTTCGGGCGCATGTTCGCCTTGGGTGTTCGCCTCTCATCAGGCGCAGCCTGCTCGCCTCCCACCCACCTCCCCTCTCCCCCGTCTCCCTCTCTCCTCGCCCCTTTCTTTCCCCAACAAATCAGGACGCCTCTGAAGCCCTTTTTGGGTCGCATGTTCTCCCTGGGTGCTCTCATCAGGAGCAGTCCTCTCACTCCCCTCAGATTCTCTCCCCTCCCCTCCTTCCTCAAATCCCCCCTCTTTCAGGACGCCTCTGAGGCCCTCTTTGGTCGCATGTTCGCCCTCGGTGCTCTCGTGAGGAGCGGCTTAATCGCCTCGCCTTCCTCCTTTTCCTCCCCCCAACCAATACCCCTTTCCCCTCTCCTCTCCCTTTTTCAATCCCATCTTCCAACTCCCCAGGACGCCTCTGAAGCCCTCTTTGGTCGCATGTTCGCCCTCGGCTCTCTCATTCGGAGTGGCCTTCTTGCCTCCCCTTCCTTCCTTTCCTCCGCAACCGAAAGCAGAGCCAGCAGCAGCAGCAGCAGCAGCAGGAGGAGGGGGGGAGGCAGGGTGGGTGGTGGGGAGGGGGGGGTGGTTGCCGGGGGAGGTGGTATCTCAGCTCCTGAGGATTGGCGAGCAACGGTCTTTCCTTGCCGAGCCTGCAACGGTGCTGCTGGTGGCACTGATTTCGCAGGTGAATACAATGGGCAGGTGATTATAACAGGCAGGTGACTATAACTGCCATGAACGAGAAGGTGACTAACGAGCAGGTGACTGTAACGAGCAGGTGACTGTAGCGAGCAGGTGACAATAAAAAGCAGGTGACTGTAACGAGCAGATGACTGTAACGAGCAGGTGAGTGTAACGAGCAGGTGACTGTAACAAGGTGACTGTAACGAGCAGGTGACTGTAACGAGAAGGTGACTCTTACCAGAAGGTGACTGTAACGAGAAGGTGAGAACGAGAAGGTGACTGTAACGAGAAGGTGACTGTAACAAGGTGATGACTGTAACGAGAAGGTGACTGTAACGATAAGGTGACTGTAACAAGGTGACTGTCGAGCAGGTGGCTGTAACAAGAAGGTGACTGTAACGAGAAGGTGACTCTAACGAGAAGGTGGCTGTAACGAGAAGGTGACTGTAACAAGGTGACTGTAACGAGAAGGTGACTAACACAAGATGGTGACTGTAACGAGGTGACTGTAACGAGAAGGTGACTGTAATGAGAAGGTGACTGTTATGAGAAGTTGCTGTAACGAGAAGGTGACTCTTACGAGAAGGTGACAGTAACGAGAAGGTGACTCTAACGAGAAGGTGACTCTAACAAGAAGGTGACTGTAACGAAAAGGTGACTGTAACAAGAAGGTGACTGTAACGAGAAGGTGACTGTAACGAGCAGGTGACTGTAACGGACAGCGGACTGTAGTGAGACTGACTGAAACAAGGTGACTGTAACGAGAAGGTGACTGTAACGAGAAGGTTCTGTAACGAGCAGGTGACTGTAACGAAAAGGTGACTGTAACGAGAAGGTGACTGTAACGAGAAGGTGACTATAACGAGCAGGTAATTTTAACGAGCAGGTGACTGTAACGAGCAGGTGACTGTAACGAGCAGGTGACTGCAATGAGCTCAGATGAAGAAATAATCGATACATCACTTATATATGATAACTTACTAAACGAGCAGGTGATTATATTCAGTGGGTAGGTAGGCACTACTGCATCAATTTTCTGAGCCTGCTACTGTGCTGCTGGTGGCTCTTGTATCACAGGTGCCTATATCGAGTTTGTGCTGTATCAAGAGAATGGTTACCAGGGGAGGTGGTATCCCAGGTTTTGAGGGTCGGAGAGCATCGGTCTTTTCTCGTCGAAGCCTGCTGTCCATTTTCCCATCCCATCCCCCCTAACCTACTCCCCCCCTTCCCGTCCCCTTCCCTTCCCCTCCCATCCCCTTCCCATCCCCTTCCCATCCCCTTCCCATCCCCTTCCCTTCCCCTTCCCTTCCCCTCACCTTTTCCCCCTGTGTGCGCAGCTCCCCCCATCCTTCCTCCCCCGCATCCTCGCCCTGCCACTAGTCTCCGCCTTCCTCTCTCAGGGCCCCATCCCACTCCCCTGAAGCTCTGCACCTGTCTTGGCGTTCAAACTGTGTATCTTCCTCCTCTCACTCCTTGTGTCCCCATTGCACCTCCCCCCCTCCTCCCTCCCGCGCATCCTCGCGGCCTCGCCCTGCCACCAGTATCCGCCTTCCTCTCTCAAGACCCATGCCCATGTGTGTGTGCGTAGCTCCCCTCCTCCCTCCTGCGCATCCTCGCCCTGCCACCAGTCTCCGCCTTCCTCTCTCAACACCCCGTCCCACTCCTCCCCCGAAGCTCTGCCACCTTTCTTGGCGTTCAAACTGTGTATCTTCTTCCTCTCACTCCCTGTGTCCCCATCGCAGCTCCCCTCCTCCTCCCTCCTGCGCCTCGCGCAGCAAGCTATGGCAGCTTGGGGAGTGAGGGGAGGGGGGAGGGCAGGGAATGCCCATGCTTTCCTGGATCCCCTGTAACGTCTTGATTAACCTGGTCCCTTTTTTTCCCTCTCCCTTCCCCGTTCGATTCCTCTATGTGCGCAGCTCCCTGCGTCTTCCCTTCAACGGATCCTCGCCCTCCCGCCCATTTCAGCCTTCCTCTCGCAACCCCCCTCTGAATCTCCCGCAACCACCCGCTTCCCCCTAAACCCCCGAGGCTCTGCACCTGGCGCTCAAGCTGTGGCAGCTTGGGGAAGCAGGGGAGGGGAACGTCTGGGCTCGGTGGTCACAAGTGGTGACTGTTCTCCCTCTAACCATTTCCCTTTCCCCTGGTGACCTCTATACCTTCCCCTTCCCATTCCCCCCTGTCCGCAGATGCCCTCCTCTTTCCTCCCGCGTATACTCGCCCTGCCGCCCATTTCAGCCTTCCTGGCCCAGCCCCCCTCCGAACCTTCCCCCGAGGCCCTTCACCTGGCGCTCAAGCTGTGGCAGCTGGGGGAGGCAGGGGAGGGGGGAGGAGAAAAAGGAGAGGAGGGAGGAGAGGAGGCAGGAGAGAAAGGAGAAGCGGGGGCAGGGAAAAATCTGGGGAAAAAGGGGGCGAAAGGGCGGAAAAATGCTGCTGGAGCAGGGGCGGAGACGGGCAGTGGGAAAAAGTTTTTGGGCGCTCTGCTGGAGCTCTGCCCGCTGCTGCCCCAGTCCGGTCGGGCAGAGGATTTTTTCAGCGCTGCCCATCTGGAAAAGCTGCTGCCCGTGCTGCAAAATAGTTCCTCCTCCCACCCACGCCTGCACGCTGTTTGGGCCTTGCTTCTCGACCGTCTCTTCTCACTCCCTCTCCCCTCCTCCTCCTCGTCCCCACTCGCTTCCCTCCCATTTCTCTCCCCCGCTTTCTCCAAATCCTCCTCTTCCTCTCCCCTCCCCTCCTCCGCCCTTTCGTCTTTCTGGTCGATAATAGTAGACAGGGGATTAATCCCTTCGTCTCACGAGAGGAGGTATTTGGCTCTTAATCTCCTCCTCCTCTTAATCCCGCGCCTCCCTCCCACCACCACGGCCTACGTGATCCTCTCTCGGCCAATCACGCGCTGCCTAATGGACGCGCTGGGGGCGGGGAGCAGGGCGCACCTGTTCCCGCTGAGTCAGCGCTGCGTCGCGCTGATTCAGCGATGGCCCACCTTGGGGGAAGCGGGGGAAGAGGAGGAAGGGGAAGGGAGGGAAGGGGAGGGGGAGGGGGGGGGGAGGGGGGAGCGGGGGGAGGAGGCAAGCAGGGGAAAGAAGGGAAGGAGGCAGAAGGGAAAGAGGGGAAAATCAAGGCAGCAAAACCAGCAGCAGCAGCAGCAGCAGCAACAGCAGCAGCAGCACCAGCAGCGGCAACAGCAGCAGCACCAGCAGCGGCAACAGCAGCAGCAGAAATGGAATCAGCAGCAAGGCTTGCTATTCTCACCACCCTCCAGAATCACTCCAAGGGGCAGTTCGATACAGTCACACGCAGCAACACTGTCCGCTTGCTTGCATCGGGGATTGCAGGGGGCGAGGGGGAGAAGGCGTATTATGGGTTTCTGCAGTCTGTGTTTACTCAGTCAGGGGAAGTTGTGGGTTTAAGGGGAGAGGAGAGGGAGATTGGGAGAGGCGGGGACGGGAGGGGAGGGAGAGGAGGGAAGGAGGGGAAGAAGGGAAAGGAAGGAAAGGGGGTGAGTGGGGATGGGGAGGAGAGAGAAGGAGGAGGGGAGAAGGAGTGGGAGAGAGAGGGAGAGGCGGAGAAAGGGAGGTTCTGGGCTTTGGATCAGATGTGTAGGTTGGTGGCTAAACCAGTTCCCAAACCGACGCTTAGCTTAAGAAAAACGCTTAAGCAGGTGAAGAAGAAGAGTGTTTCAAACGCTGGTGCTGCTAAAACGGCGGACGGTGCAGGAGACGGGGAGGGGAAGGAAGGGGAGGGAGCGGAGGTGAGAGAAGAGGAGGAGAGGAGGAGGGAAGCAGAGGAGGCAGTGAAGGGAGTGTGGGAGCATGTGACTCTAAGGAAGGTGATTCTAGGGTTCATTATGAGAGTCGCTCTAAAGGGGGGTGAGATTCAGCCTGAAAACGGTGGGAAGGTGGGACGAGGAGGAGGAGCGGAGGAGGAGGAGACTCCAAAGAAGGGAAAGAAAGGAAAGAAGGGGAGCAAGGAGGGGAAGCAGAACCAGCAGAAGCAGGAGGAGCAGCAGCAGGGGCAGCAGGGACAGGAGGGGCTGGGGATAGAGGCACGTTCTCTCTCGTTCTCCCCAGCCGTATCTGGAGGTGTGCTGTCTGCTTGCAGGTCCCGGTTCTTATCCTCGTTAGAAGCTCTTTTCAAGCAGCTGGACTACTTCGTTAAAAGCCCTGAGGGGAGGGAGGTGGAGCGGGCTGTGGGGGCAGGGCGAGAGGGGAGAGAGTGGAGGGAAGGGGAGGGTGGGAAGGAAGAGAAGGGGACTTCAGGCGTTTCTGTAACGAGTGTGAGTGTGAAGGGTGCGAGTATAAAGGGAGCGGGTTTGTGGGTGGTGGAGCAGCTAGTTTGGGAGGCAGAGGGGTGGATGGAAGGGAGGAGGAGAGCGGATGCTGAGAATGGAAAGATGGAAGTTGAGAGGAAAGGGGAGGAGGAGGAAGGGAGTGAGGAGGAGAGTGAGAAAGAGGAGGAAGAAGGGGAGGATGTGGAGGCAGTTGCAGGAGGGTTGAAAGAGTCACTTAAGCTCGTTACTCAAGCGGAGGAGAGTGAAAGAGGACAGGGGCTGCCAGTCCCTGTCGTTGCTTCTCCTATGCTTGAGGCTCGGAGGAAGGCTGTTGGGGTGCTCCTAGGGACGCTCCTGCTCTGCATTCGCATCCAAACCTCCGCCGAAGCTGCCGCCGAAGCTGCTGCCGAGGCTGTTGCCGAGGCTGGTGTGGGTGGGGGAGTTCGAAAGGCAAAAGAGACTGATGGGAGTGGGGATGAGGATGAGGATGGGGAGGAGGAAGAAGAGGAAGAGGAGGGTGGTGCTTCTCCTGCTGCTGCTGCTGCTGCTGGTGGTGCTGTCGCTGGTGGTGGTGACGTGGACGTTCTTTTGGAAGCTGCTGCTGACGTCACTGCCATTGCGCGCCAGCTGGCGGCTTCTGGTTGGCTGATTCTGAAGGGAGGGAAGGCTGGCGTGAATGGGAGTGGGGGAGGGAAGAGGAGAGGAGGAAAGAGGGTGGGAGACAGTGAGGAGGAGAGTGAGGAGGAAGACGAGGAGGAAGAGGATGAGGAGGATGAGGAAGTGGAGGAGGAAAAGACAAAGGATGTGATGCTGTCACTGGTGGACGTGGTTTTGTCCTTACTGGCGCAGGAATCGTCCCTGCTGAGAGGGGCGGCGGAGGGTGTGTTTAGCGCCTTCTGTAACGATCTGACTGCAGAGGCTCTAGAGACTATAATGGAGGTGGTTGTAACGAATCCCAGGAGCAAGAAGAGAGAGGAGGTGCTGGAGGGAAGAGGAGGAAGAGGAAGAGGAGGAAGAGGAGGAAGAGGGGGAGGAGGGGAGTGGAGAGGAAGGGTCGGAAGAGGAAGAAGGCAGTCAAAAGGAGGAAGACGAAGAGGAGGACGAGGAGGAGGAGGACGAGGAGGACGCTGCATTGAGAAAAGCTATCAGGGAAGCGAATGAAACGAGCGTTCGGAACGGCAACGCCAACGGCAGCATGAGCGACAGTGACAACGAGGAGTTGATGGACGATGCAGCCATGTTCCGAATTGATCAGCACCTGGCCGACATTGTTCGGCAGAAAGTGGAGGCGGAGACGCGCAGGAAGCGCCGGCAAAGCATCCTGCTGGGGGAGCACTTCCGCCTGCGCGCTCTCTCCCTCCTCGACACGTGGCTCGCACACGCTCCCAGTACCTACCCTCCCTCGCGACCCGTCACAAGGCAGGAAGCGTCCCACGCACACTCCCTCTTGTTGGAAGAGCCTCGCTCGTTACAAGGCAGGAAGCCTCTCTCGTGCGATCCGCTGGTGCTTGCCGTGGTGCCGCGGCTGCTCAAGGCAGCAGCGGGGAACTATGCGGCCAAGGGGAGCTTGAAGGGGGGGAAGGGCGGGGGAGGGGGTGAGGGAAGGGGGGGCACGGGGCATGATGCTGTGCTGGTGCGGGTTGAGAGGATGCTAGAGAGGCGGGTGGTTGGAGCGGTGGTGGTTGTAGGGGGAGGAGGAGGGAAGGGAGGTGGAGGGAAGGTGGGAGGAGGGAATGGTGCTGCTGCTGCTGGTGAGGATGAGGAAGAGGAGGGGGAGGAGGAGATGAGGAGGATAGCAATGGAGAGGCAGATGGAGCGGCAGCAGGAGAGGGAGGACGAGGCGGTTCTGCTTGCCGCACGGGCGGCCATGCAGGAGTGCTTCGCAGAGGCCACGCGGCGAACCTCCATCCGCCACCTGGCGCTCGTCGCAGGAGATTGCGCCATGTGGCTCTGCCACGTCATCCAGGCCCGGCTCTTAGCTAAGTCCCAGCGGGAAGCAAATTCCAAGCGTGAGCAGGAGAAAAACGCCAAGCCTCAGCAACAGCAGCAGCAGGAGGGGAAGAAGCAGCAGGGAAAGCAGGGTAATGCATTAAAGGCAGCTCTGATCGACTCATCAGTGAAAGATGCCTTTTCCTCTGCCATCTCTCGAACAATAGATTCCCGGGACTGTCCTCTTCCCATCAACTTTATCCGTGACACCCTTGCACGCTTCCCTGGGCTGTTTTCCGCTCTCATTCCGTACTTTCTCAAAAAGTGCGGCTCGGGCAGGTCGGAGTTCGTCCGGGCAGCTGCGATGAAACTCATCACGCCGTTCCTGAACCGTTTTCCGCTGCCCGAGGGCGCCGCGGAGGTGCTATCCGGGCAGGTGGAGAAGGGAGTGGTGGGGAATCTCCTGATTGAAACCCTAAAGTATGAGTATGGGAAACTAGAGCGGTGGGAGTTGGGATTGGACTTCTGCTGTGCTCTGCTGCGTTCTGTAGGCCATGCAGACGAATCCCTAGCAGCAGCTGCTCGCAACTCGGATGAAGCAGCTTCTCAGAAGGTTTCGAACGGCAACGATAGGCTCGAAAGTGATGGTTCGGGTGCTCCTCCGAAGCTCCTCCAGGCCTTGGATGTTGAGGGGCTGAAGGCAGCTTCGGCCGAACCTGCGTCGGTGCAACGGGTGAAAGGGAAGGCGAGGACAGGGCAGATGATTGCTCAGTTACAGCGGATGGTGGCGGCTGTTGAGGTTGTGAGGGATGGGAGGGCAGGGAGCTTGAGAGAGGGAGTGAATGTGGTTTTGGGACGTGTGAAGGGAGGGAAGGGGACTGGGGGTGAGGAGGAGGGTGGGGAGGAGGAAGGGGAGGAGGGAGAGGGGATAGATGGGGATGGTGGGAAGAGAGAGGGGAAGGGCGGAAAGAAGGGAAAGGGAGGGAAGGGTAAGAGGAAGCAGGGGAAAGAGGAGAGGGAAGAGGAGGAGAGGGAGGAGGAGAAGGAGAAGCAGAGTGAGCAGAAGGAGGAGCAAGTGGGAGGGGGAAAGAAGCAGAAGAAACTGAAGAAAGGGGGGGAGCAGGAGGAGGGGAAGAAGAGAAAGAAGCAGAAGAAAAGCATAGGTGGTGGTGAGGAGCAGTAAGAGGAGGAAGAGGAAGGGAAGAGGAGCAAGTAGATGTTTTGATGTTTTGATTAAGGTTTGGGAATGAGGTAAAGGACTGGAAAAGATGGTAGGGTTGTGGCAGGGAATGTGGGGAGGGGTGGGCTGAGAGTGGGGGAGGGCTTTGGGATGGCCCAAGATTCAAGAGAGGAGGTAGACGAAGGAAGGAACGTGTGAGGGGTGGGGGTTGGGAATGATTTGATGGCAGGTGGATTGAAGACAGGCACACGAGGGATCAGAGGAAGGAGGAGGGAGAAGTGCCATGAATTTTCCAGGAAAGGAATGTTGCAGAGAAGTTGTTGATTTGGGCAAAGATCGAGTTGTGGTTAATCTTGAAATTTTCAAGGGGAAGAGAGGGACACGTCAGGCAGACTCAGGACACGTCACCTGCCTTGATCGATCGTAGGTTTGCCAGGAATAACCGATCGGGCATATAGATCGCAGGATTGGGGCACGATTGGGGGGAGGTGACAGCTGAACATCGATCGCAACTACGGTAGGTTTCGAGCCCTGGATGACGCGTTCGGTATTGCGCCAGGGACATGATTGGGCGAAAATTTGCAGCACCGTCGTTGGATGATTTGCGAGAAAAACATGAGACGATTCAGGTAACCCTGTAAACTGTGCGACTGCGATCGATCTTGCCTGTCACTTTGAGCGCGAGCTTGGAGCTCATGCAAAATCGGTGTGTGTAAGATGATGCAATCATCGCGGTTGGGGGAAGTTGACAAGATCGTGGTGGAAATAGATCCTGTAAACTGCGATGCTACAGTTTTACTGTAGCATGCCAAACATCGATCCTACGCAGGGTCGATCAAGGCAGGTGACGCGTCCTCACAGTTCTGGCACACGCACCTTGGATCTGACACGCCAGTCGCGTGAATTTCGCGCAATTTCCGCCAGAATGAATGCCATCAGAGGGTAGGGAGGGATGAGACCCACACAGGATCAGAAGTTCATTGAAAATTCCCGCATACATAGTCAAAGTATTATTTGCTGGAAGGATATTATTGAAGAAAAAAACAGAGCATAAGTACATTTCTCTAGGCCTACATAGCATCCCTCAAACCAACATCCCTAATCAAACGCTAAGGAGAACCGCAACCACTGCTGCTGCTGCTGGCTCTGCTAAATCGTGGAGGGAGGCAAACCGCTTCAGGGGAGGGGAACCACTACTGCAGAGGGTAGGGTAACAAACACCTAGCAGGAAATGCCGCAGGACTCAAGCGAAGGGCCTTCCTGTTTGGGGGTGAAGGGGCTGATCTTGACCCAGAGGAGGGAGAAGATGGAGGCGAGCAGCACCGACCACACGATCACGATCGTGGGGATCTTGGCGTTGCGCCCTCCGAGACCCTTCATGAAAGGGTAAAGGTGCACAATCACCCAAAAGGCGAAGAAGAGCTTTCCGAAGAGATCGCCCCACTCAGCAGTTCCCGAGTTCATTGCAACTGCAACTCCCGCGACAATCCCGAGGGCGTTGAAGACAATGAGGAAGAGGGGAGGGATCAGGAGAGACGTCCACTTGAAGAGGTACAGCTCAGCAAACTCGCCATCCTCCGCCTGCTTAGCTGTAACCGTGAAATTGGTGTCGATGCCAGCTAGCACTTTCAGCATGCCCTGGAAAACGGCAAAGAGATGCGCCGACACCCCTCCGATGACCCAGAACTGCTCGTTTCTCCACCACTCGGTCATGCTGACCTTGGACCACCTCATTTCAAGCAGCCCCGTTGCAAAGATGCTGAGGAAAAGCGCGATGAAGTAGAGCGTGGAGACCGTGTCGAGGTACGGGATGATGAATTTGTTGGTGAGGAGGCAGATGGCGGGCAGCATGCAGTACATGAGCAGCGGGAAGGACGTGAACGGGTAAACCACGGTGTTGATGTAGGAGAGCCGCTGAAGCATCTTGAGGCGGTTGCCCTTCCAGCCGTACCAGATGGGGCAATGGCGGGACAGGAAGATTTCTACCGAACCCAGCGCCCACCGAAGCACTTGCTGCAGACGGTCGGACAGATTGATAGGCGCGCCTCCCTTGAAGGTGGCGCGCTTCGGCTTGCAGTAGATGGAGCGCCAGCCGCGTGCGTGCATCTTAAAGCCCGTCAGAATATCCTCAGTGACCGACCCGTAGATCCAGCCAAGCTACACGCGAGTGAAGGGAAGGGAGGGAAGAGGAAAGGGATTGTGACGATGAGCGAGGGAGGCTTGAAGGACGAAGGGTGAGGGGATAGGGTACGGGGAAGAGAAACAAGCTGTGGATCGAAGGTGTAAGGGGAGGTATCATGGGAGGGCAACAACAGACATCAGATAGAATCAGCCATGGTGTTGATGGTAAGGGACGAAGCGTACCTCCTTGCCCCACTCGGTCTTCTCCTCGTAGCCGCACGAGATGACGTGGATGGCCTCTTTAAGAGTGGACCCGGGACTAGCAGAAGCCACGCCGCCTCCCTCCTCGTGGAAGGTCGAGAGCACGAAGACGGGCGACTGACCAAATTTCTTCTCAAACTTCTTGAGCGCCAAGAGGCTATCTCCCTCCACTGCGAGAAAACAGAGGGCAAGGAGAATGGCGTAAAATCATGGGTGGAGGAAGAATGGCGACTATGAGTAAGGAAGACGGAAGAGCGAGGCAATGAAGGGGAGGAAGAGCGAGGCAAGGACAGCAGACACTCACCATCGTCGTCTCCCAGGAAGGCCTCAGCCCCCGCGGGCAGCGGCGTGCCGTCCGGAAGCTTCTTGCGCTTGCTTCCTGCGCCCTCCTTGCCGCGGTCGCCCGCGCAGCAGCTGAAGCACGAGCACAGCAGCCCGTTGCACCGCGCCTTCTTCTCCTTCTTGGGCGGCTCGTAGCCGTACAGCGCGTGGCGACGGAAGCAGCAACCCGTACCCACGTAGCAGGGGCCCTGAACACCGTCGAGACCAGGCAAGTTGATCTGTAGGGTAGGGAGCATATGGATGACGTGGGGAGGATAGGAATAGTAAGGTATGCGGTGCGTATGGGAGAAAGGAGTGACAGGAAAGGGACAAAAAGGGAAGGAAAAGAAAGGAAAGGAAAGGGAGCCGTTGAGTCGTTGACGCATCGAGGGGAGAGGCTCACATCGAAGAAGACGGTGTTGTGGTTGGCGTAACGATCGTTGGGGTCAATGCCGTCGAACCGCTGCGGGAACTGCACGTAGCAGCACTTCTTGCCCACGTTCGGGTCCATCATGAAGCACATGGCCTCGCGCAGCGCCTTGCTGTCGTTCAGGTAATGATCGCAATCGAGATTGAGCATGTAGGGCGCGTTGGAGAGAATCGCCGACACGCGAATCAGCGCGTTCATCGCACCGGCCTTCTTGTGGTGGTTGTAGCCCGGGCGCTTCTCGCGAGACACGTACACGAGTCGCGGAAGCGGGTTACCGTCCACGTCGGTTCCGCCGCTCGGGCCGAGGAAGACCTGGATCATGCCGGGATGGTCGCGCGATTTGCTGCCGGGCCACGGCGTGCCGTCCTGCATCACCCAGCCATCTTCAGGCATCTTGTGGGAACGCGCGACGAGAGCGTTGATGCGGATCTTGAACTCCTCATAATCCCTCTGATGGAGGAGGAATGGGTACGAAGAAATACGGGGAAGAATGAGGAACAAGATTTTGATGACAATCTGCGTATTGGTGCGCATTCAATTTCGAGAGAAAAAAAGGCAGGGACAACATAGAATCACCCGAGGCGCGTCTCTCGTGTTACATTAATTTCGAGAAGGCTTGCTACCCGAGGCGAAACACACCTTCATTTGGCGACGATCCTTGACGAAATCTTGGTCAACCTTGTCCTTGAGGTAGTCGACTTTCTGCGTGAAGTACACTTCGGGTGCCCGCGGCTCGATGCTGTACCTCTTCGCGAAAGGAACCCAGCGCCTCGCAAATTCCGCCGTTTCGCCCATCGCATCGAAAGTCAGCATCGCGCCGCCATCGTCGTGCACGTATGCCGAGACTTTCTCAACGGGATAATCAACGGACAGGATGGAAAGGAGAGTGTTGGCCGTGGTGAGCGGGGGCTCCTTCTGCGGGTCCACCGTCGATACGAAGAAATCGACGGGCGACAGCTGCGAAGGCTCGCCCTTGCGATCGAAACGCAGCGCCAGACGGTCCAGATACGTCTCTCGCTTGATTGGCATCCATTTCGGAAACTGATCGAGAATCCAGGAAAACGCGAACCAAACTTCGCAAATAACCGAAATCAGCCACAGCCACCACGCCCCGTCGACGGGATTCAGGCACCGCCAGCGAAGGAAGAAAACGAGAACCACCAGACGAATCACAATAACCAGGCGGTACGGGCTGATGAGCGACGACGGATAATGAACCTTGCGCGACAGCGGCTGACGGGACTCATCCATGGACGGGAGGTCGCCTTCCGGAGTGGCGCCTGCGGAAACTTCGGCTGCGCCGTTGCCGTCGCCGACAACCATGCGACCCTGCTGCTGCTTCCACGACTCCACGCGATCCTTCCAGACGACGCTGCCGTAGCCGTAGCTGGGGGCACGGAGCTCCACTGCAGACAGGTGCGCGAAGGTACATTTAGTTAGATAATAGTGATAACGGAGTATTGTTATTGTTTTACGACCGTATGCATTACATATGTAGTTAAACAACGTTTTGGTTTAGACTTACTGGCCATGTCGTTGGCGCTCGGTGTCTGGCTGGGCGTACGACTGGGCGTACGCTCGTACTTGTTGTAGTCCGAGGGCGGCGGAATCGTACCGGCCGGCACCATGGCCCCCGGATTGTACTCCGTTGCGACGGACTGGTCCGGGTTGACCTGGTTGGATGTCAGCATCGGATACTGCGACGACGCCTGCGCGTTGTGCGACACGTACGACGCGTACGACGTCGTAGGGACGTCCAGCGATGCGCCGCCCCTGTCGCCTTCGCGGTCGCTCCTCTCCTCGTCGTCGTCCTCGTCGTCGTCATCTTCGTCAATGCGCGGGCTCCCTGTGTAAATGTCGCGTGTGGAGGATATTGTTCGGGTTCAGTGATAAAATCCACTCAGCCGTCATGAATGCATGGGCTGCCAGTGTGAACGCTGCATGAAAAGCCCAGGCTAGATCAAGTTTGCGCAATTCTACGCAACACTCACAACGTCTGCGCTGCGAGGACGCGTGGACATTCTCACATTGACTAGCTAATTAGACATACCCTTGTATCGCTTATAGAACGTCTTGCACTGTGGGCACGCGCGGCTGCCCTCCTTGCGCTCGTAGTCGTAGCAGGGGCGGCACACGGGGTACGCGCACTCGTGGCACGCCACGAAGATTCCGCCTTCCACGAATTGACCCACATCGTCGCCACAGATCTGGCAGATGATCGGATTGAACGTTGGGTTGTGCGTCTGCAGATCGAGCCAGGGAGGAAAGAACAGCAGAATACAGTTAGTTCATGCTGGTCTGGTTAGAAAGTAGCGCGGCCATTGTCAACGATTTGACTCGTATCATCACCGAATTTCCGGCAGACATTGAATTGAATAAATTCGAACGCGACGGTTGAGGAATCTGTTCGAGGAACGTAGGCAGTGTTCGGTAATAAAGAGTCCACCATTCCGACAGGGGTCGTTGCTCGGTAACGGTTATTTCGATAAGCTGCGTGCTCAGTCGAACGATATAATTCGAGCTCAGATGAACTGGTGATAGAGGCGGATGGATGCATTACCACTTGGGAATCCTTGCGGATAACGACTAAGTGGTTGCGATTGTGGCTGCCCGCCACTAGGCCCGTGTTGTGCTCCATAGCGGCCTCCCAGCTCAAGCGCGCAGGGGGCGCTTCCTGTCTATCACCCTAGAAGAACAACTCCACCGAGCCAAAATTTGTAAGTCTAGAACTGCTGTTTCACAGGCTTCTAGCAGCTTTTTGCCGCCTCACTGCAAGAATCATGGGATGTGCTCACAATATAAGAGGAACAGACTGTTGGGATGGTTTGCAGAGAAGTGGAGGGCCGACAAGGGTAGCCGTGCGTGTGGCTGGGATTGACGGGTGGGGCATAGGCGCGCAAAGCTAGGGGCGACTGGGGATTCAAAATCTTCGTACCGATGGAGCAGCGGGCTGGGGGAGGCGAAGAGGAAGCGGATTGAATCACAATTCGAATGGAGAAACTAGAGATGCGACTCGGGACAGCCACAGCGCACTTGGGTTGCATGACAGGTAGGACGCGTCGGGGCTGAGGGCTGACGAATCAGAGCGAGCTCTTGACCCCGCATCGTGCGGTGAAGATGGTCGCGTGGACGACCATGCGACCCAGGGTATGGCGTTCCGGTCGCAGTACATCCGCTGCGACTGCCGAAGGATGGCACAAGCCGAGCCTGGTCAAGGTTTGATGCGACTTCTCAAGAAGACACAGCTGTCGTTATGCGACCCATTCGACACGCGAACATGTATCAGCCAATGGGTGTGTGCCATGGCAGCTCTGATTGGGTATGTGACTTTGTGAATTTTGACAAAGGCGTATCGCAGCCCATTTCTTATCGAATGGGCAGGCACAAACGAGGGAGCGGTGCGCTGGAGCGAGGTCATTGTATTCTGATTCAATCACATAGTTATTTAGGGCGACGTCAGGTTGTACAACTTATTGTACGCCTACTGCGGTTAACTTCGTTTCAACACGGTGCAAAGCGGTAAACGTCAAGAACCGTTTTCCACCGTTTTATACCGTCCTGAATCACGACACCAGAACTGTAAACCCATGAGAAATGTATAACCTGACGTCGCCCTTAGGAGGGACTATATCTATGCTGAATAGATGTAGAGCATACATGAAAAATAACTTTGCATCCAAATTGTTGGAGTGTACCATGCCGACACATGAAAGATTAACATCTCTACCGTATTGCTGCCATGCATTCAGTGTATGTAGTTTTGTCACTCTCTACCTGATTCTCCCGCTTCATTTTCGGTGGTCCTGGCCTTGTTGCATATTACACTTCGTAGCATGGACGGACGACACGAATAAACCACCTTGCGAAGCTGTGCCATAGGTATCCATCTGTGGTCAACAATTGTAGGCAGTAAAGCAAAAAGGTTTAGGCTGAAGAACTTCCATCCATATGTGCTGGCGCTTCGCCCTGTTAGGTACCGGTAGGTGGAGAAAATAAAGAAATTACCTTCCGGTGAATAGCACTCCTGAACAGTAACAAGGTGTTGCTGTCTTGTCAAAGGGAAGCACATGCGCAATCAGTGTCGAATTATTAATGTGGTGCACAACACATGATTCCTCCTGTATTCCACACTAGTTACTGCATCTTTCCTCAGTCATATGTCTGCCTCAATTGCATCTCTGTCTCACTCTTCCATGTGGCATGCGACGATTGGCCCTTCATTCGCTTCGATTTCTCCTTGTCCTTGACTTTGCTATCTCCGTCCCGTTTTTTCGCTTCCTCTCTGCCCGCAGCCGCGTCGGTGGCTCCTGCTGGCCTATCGCGGCAAATCGGGCAGACCACACCCTGCCCGGAGGAAGGAGTTTTGGGAACCTGACAGGTCGGGCAGATCCTGCAAGTTTTGCAGCATCCGGGCACAGTGAGGATGAGAAAAGCAAAAGTTTCATACTGAAAACAAAAGCAAGACTAAAATAAAAAAACCGAGACTAAACAACTCTTAGAATTCATAAATTCGCGTTTCCCTAACTCGACCAGCAAGTCCACCTTTTCCCCCTCTTCCCCCTCCCTTTCCCACTCACTCTTCCCCCCTCCCCCCCCACTTCCTTCTCTCCCTCTACTCTTCCCCATTCTAACCCACTTTTTCCCCAAAACTACCCACACCAACAACCCATCTGCACCTCTTTCCACCTTTTCCTGCCAAACCAAACCATCTTACTTTTCTCCCCTTACCACCAACCTTACCCAGCAGAAGAGATTCACAGCATCCGCTTCAGAAGGCATTTCTTTCAAATCTCCCTCCAGACCCCTTGCACCACTCTGCACCTCTACCCACCTGAGGAGATTCACAGCATCGGCTTCACAAGGCAAGGAACCATACTACCTCCCTGCAACCAGCCCTTATACACCTCCCTGCACCTCTCTGCACCTCTCTCTGCGCCTCTTCCACCCAATTAAACCGTTTCATTATCCCTTTTATCCTACCCACCTGAGTAAATCCACAGCATCAGCTTTAGGAGGCATTGACACGCCAACTGCCTTTCTGCCACGTGGCGCGTCCCCATTTGCTGCGTCAGCACCCTCTGCTGCCTCTTCTCCCTCTTCTACTGCAGCAGCAGGGGCGTTCGGGTTTCTCACAGGTGCTGCTACAATCTCCCGTACTGGAAGGGGGGAGATTACAGGGAAGGGCGGCAAGGGAAAGGGTGAACAGAGGGACCTGTTAGGTTTTGCACTGCAGCAGCAGGTTCAGCAGCAGCAGGGGCGTCTGCTTTTCTCACAGGTGCTGCTACAATCTCTGGTACTGGAAGTGGTTACAGGGCAGGGAGAGAACAATGGCAGGGCAGGGCATGGAAATGTAAGGGGAGGAGCATAATTTTTTGCCAACGCAGAAGCAGCAGCAGCAGCAGCAGCAGCAGCAGCAGAAGCTTTCGGGTTTCTAACAGGTGCTGCTACTGGGAGGGGCAGAGGGAGGGGGAGAGTGCAGGGCGGAGAGGGGAGGCAAGGGGATGGGTGAGGTGAGGGCCACATTGGGTTGAGAAGTGCGGCTGCTGTTGAAAGGCGGCTTTCAATCAGACAAAGGAATTTGAGAAGGTTCTGAAAGCCCCCTGCTTGAAGAAGTGTTTTGAGACGTCTCAAACCACTCAAAACGGGCTCTGAAACGAGCTGGTTTTTGAGAATTCTGAAAGCAGACAAAAGAATTTGAGAAGGTTCTGAAAGCCGCCTGCCCGCTGCCTATAGCAGGTTCTTTTCAGTAATTCTCAAAAAGCCCCCCTGCCCACTCAGACAAGCAACTTACAAGCTCCCCTGTCCTCTGCCTGTTGCAGGTTGTTTTTAGTACTTCTCAGGAAAGCCCCCTGCCCGCTCAGACAAAAGCAATCTATGAGCTCCCTCCACCACCGACGCCCCCTGCACGCCTCTGTCTGAGCGCCTCTGTTCTGAGCCTCACACACTTGCAGCAGCAGCAGAACCAAGGTGACTTTTGAGTCGACTCAAAAGTCACCTCTGTCTGAGCGCCTCTGGTCTCGGCACACACTTGCAGCAGCAGAAGCAGCCTTTTGGAGCGCCTCAAAAGTCCCCCCCACCACTGACCCCCCCTGCAAGCCTCTGTCTGAGCGCCTCTGCTCTCGGCCCACACTAGCTGCAGCAGCAGAACCAGCCACCCGACCCAACCCCAACATATGAAAGGATAGGGAATGGCCGCTCAACCCAACCCAAACACCCACCACCACCAGCACCCACGCCCCCTGCCCGCCTCTGTCTCAGCGCACACTAGCTGCAGCAGCAGAACCAGCCACCCGACCCAACCCCAACATATGAAAGGATAGGGAATGGCCGCTCAACCCAACCCCAACACATGAAAGGATAGGGAATGACCACTCACACATTTACTCACCCCAACCTAAACACCCACTCACCACCACCGCCGACACCCCTGCCTGCCTCTCTCGGTACACCACCCATCGCTGCAGGAGCAGGAGGCATGTGGTGGGGTGCTCTGAAAGGTTCAGGTTAGAAACACTGGAGCTCAAGAGGAGTTAGAACACTCGCCCCCACTGCCAAAGCCCCCTGTCTGCCTCTCTCGATACACCACCGCTGCAGGAGCAGCTGCAGTTCCGACCCAACCCCAGTCCGTGGAAGAATAGGGGTCAACCCCACTCAACCCAGCCCCAACACATTGAATAAAAGGAAAGGGAATGACCACTCACACATTTACTCAACCCAGCCACAACACTCACTCACCCCCACCACCAATGCCCCATGCTCGCCTCTCTCGATACACCACCGCTGCAGGAGGCGTGTGGTGTGAAGGTGTGTGGTGTGGTGTGGAGGGTTCTCAGAGTGATTCATAAACTCACCCCCACTGCCAACGCCCCCTGCCCGCCTCTCTCGGAACACCACGGCTCCAGGAGAAGCTGCAGGCGCCCCGGCGACTGACACAATGCCACGTGGCGCCTCCTCATTGGCCGAACCCATGGCGACGAGCTTGCCGGAACGGGCTATGTGCAAGTGGTGGGAGAGGGCTGTGGGGGCGAGGAAGGAGGGTGGTCCCTCTACCTAAAAAGTAAATTAGACAAGCAGGGAGTGGAGAGAAAATGGCAATGAGCTTCCCCGAACGGGCTATGTGCATGTGGTGGGAGAGGGCTGTGGGAGCGAGGAAGGACGGCGGTCCTCCTACCTGCAAGGAGAACAGGGGGGATTGGAAGGGGGAGGGGAAAACAGCAACTGGTTTGCCAGTGCAGGGTATGTGCGTGTGGTGTGGTCGGATAAGGCCGTTGGGGCGAGGAAAGATGGCAGTCCTTCCATCTGAGAGACAAGCGGAGGGAGGGGGATTGGAAGGGGGGGAAGCAGTTATGAGCTTCCGGGAACGGGCTATGTGCATGTGGTGGGACAGGGCTGTTGGTGCGAGGAAGGACGGCGGTCCCTCTACCTGGGAGGAGGGGACGACAAGGGATGGGAGAAACAGCAATCGCTTTGCCAGTGCAGGGTATGTGCATGTGATGGGACAGGACAGGGCTGTTGGCGCGAGGAAGGACGATGGTCCCTCTACCTGGGAGGAGGGGACGACAAGGGATGGGAGAAACAGCAATCGCTTTGCCAGTGCGGGGTATGTGCATGTGGTGGGACAGGGCTGTTGGCGCGAGGAAGGACGGTGGTGCCTCTACCTGGGAGGAGGGAAGGGGCTGGGAAGAGGGAAAACAGTAATGAGCTTGCCAGAGCGAGCTATGTGCGTGTGGTGGGATAGGGCCGTTTTTGAGAACGGCCGCAGGGGTGGATAGGGCCGTTTTTGAGAATTTCCAAAAACTCCCTGCTATGTGTGTGTGGTGGGATAGGGCCGTAGGGGCGAGAAACGACGGTGATCCCTCCGCCTGATAGTTTGTTTCGGAAAGAGGCGAGGAGAGGAAAATAGAGGGAATGAGGGCGTATGCGGGAGTAAGAACGGATCAGTAACGATCGTGTCAGGGCATGTGCGCTACGTGCATGTGGTGGGATAGGGTCGTTTTTTAGAACGGCCGCAGGGGTGGGATAGGGCCGTTGAGGCAAGGAAGAATGGCGGTCCTTCCGCGTGGGAGGAGGGAAGGGGATGGGAAGGGGGAAAACTGTGACGGGATTGTTAGTGCAGGCTATGTGCATGTGGTGGGATAGGGCTGTGGGGGCAAGGAAGAATGGCTGTCCCTCCGCCTGAGGGGAAGGGGTGTAGGAGAACAGACAGAGAAAAAGGGGGAAGAGGAAAGGGAGCGGGGACGGGGAAGTAAGAGTGGAAGCAGGAACTGGTTTGCCAATGCTGGGTGTGTGCATGTGGTGGGAGAGGGGTGTGATGTATGTGCATGTGAGAGGGAGAGGGGTGTGAGGGAGAGGGCTGTGAGGGAGAGGGCTGTGATGTGTGTGCATTTGCAAGGTAGGGGGAGAGGTAAGGAGGCGGAGAGGTAAGGAGGGGAGAGGTAAGGCGGGGGAGAGGTAAGGCGGGGGAGAGGTAAGGAGGGTGAGAGGTAAGGCGGGGGAGAGGTAGGAAGGGGAGAGGTAAGGAGGGAGAGAGGAGAACACGTAAAGAAACATCGGGTAGAGGAAAGGGAGTGGGGATGGGTGAGCAAGAGAGGAGGCAGGAACTGTCCCTCCCTCCTAACCCTTATTTTCCCGTCCCTCATCCCTCCCTCCTCCCCTCAACAAGCACCGGCCTGAAAGTACCACACACCGCTTCAAACGCAGCTGCAGCGGACGGCAATCCCGAGGGTCCTTTCTCCGGCAGGAACCCGACGGCCGTTCGTCTCGCGCCGCCTATTCTACCGGTCGTCGCCGCCACTCCTCCCGCGCTTTCCTTCCCCCCGTTGTCCTCCCTCGCCCGCGAAGCTTCTTCCTGGTTTCCTCCATCCGTCTTATCTTCTGCCTCCGCATCTTCCGCTTCTTCCGAATCGCTGCCTGAAGAATCCGACGAATCGCCCCCCTGCACGAAAGCGGCGCTCCTTAAACGCGCTTCGTCCTCGTCTGAATCATAGCTTTGAACGAGCTGAAGGCTCATGGCAGCGAAAGTCCCAGGAATTCCCACGAACCCTAAAAAACGCCTTCACATAGACCAAACAAAACTCAAGCTGTTCAATGTAACGGACTAATGGAGATAATATGCTTACTCTTTTGAAATGAGATTCACGGTATCCGTATGAAAATCGCTGGATACTAGTGTCTGGTCTGGCGGAAGGGCCAGGCCTGGCAGAGATCCTGAAGGGGTGGATCTTCGCAGTTCGTGACGATATGGAATTTTAGCGAGGTTGAGCACGGTGCGGGTCGTTCCAGTGAGAAAGCTTTACAGAAGGTCGGAAGTGGTTCTTGTTTCCGATAGAGAGTGTTTCGTTCTTAACAGTTTGGTAAGATTTTGAGATCCTTAGTTTTTAAGATATTGGGCGGGATAGTGGTCATGTCGTTCGCAGACCATCCTCGTGTTGTGTGCCCTGACCTTGACTCGGTCCTTTTAGGTCTTCAATGTTTCGTGTTTTCTTGGTCTTTTAAAGTATTTCCGAAATAAAATTTACTTGTCATTGTGGTACAAAATGTCTTTAAGTATTTAATGAGTTGTACTCTAGACGAGTATTTTTACACCCGAATAGTCAACTGATTATTCGCTTATCCAACTTGCACATGGCAATAGCGAGCTTCGTATCGCAGGAGAGAGTACACCACCGGACACCACTGTAAACGAACACTGGACTGGAGCCACCGGGTTGACCTAGCAGGGACAGTTCAACGGAGCAAATGCAGGCAGGAGCAAATAAAACGAAAGTCAAACTACAATGCTGTGCTGTAACAGAAACCAGGCGGTGTAGTTTGTCGTCAATGCTTGGTCGTCGTCCCCTTCTAGCTGGGCAACCTCCACCACACCAGACCACCACTGCTGGGAACGCTTCGTCGTCAACCCTTGTGTTCGTGGATGGAAGTCGTGACTCATGCCTAGCCTTGTCGTCGTTTGACCCTCGCCCCATCGCAGGCCCTAAGTGGGAGACGCACACTCCGTTCCATCACGGCAAAATCCAGCCCACGCAAATGCTTCACTTGAGCGCAATTAGCGCAATTCCATCCCCGCCCCCACAACCTTCCTACACAATAGTCCCAACCAGCTGCCATTTAATTTCCCTCCCACACTCTATCCAGCAACTTCATTTTCGTTCCATTGACTTCCTTTGGTCCTTTGTGTTTTCACACTTAGGGCACATTCTGGGCTCTGGTCATATCCTCTGGGCAACCTCTGGTCAACCGAAATCATGCCTATTTCTTACCAATTGTGCTAATTGTAAGGCTTTCTACAGTGGTGACCAGAGGTTTGCCCAGAGGTTTGCCCAGTGCCCGGAATGCGCCCTTAGTTGAGGGTACCTGCCAGCTAAGAAACTGGCATCTCCTACATGATCCCAGGGGTGCTGCCATATACCATGCCATGCACCGCCATACAATCAAACCGAACCAACTAGGTTCGCTATCCAGTGCAGCAAAACCATCTCGCGCCAATATAACTGCCAGTTGTGCTGGTCAGCTCGAGATGCTCGGCTATCCACTGCCACACTCAAGCAGCCGACTCGAGACGACATGCCGGGGACTACGGATGGAGCCATTTACAAATGATGCTCGTTTGACTAACCCAAGGTTGCCTTGTGAAGGGGGCTCTTAAGTGATTCTTGCATTTCGCTAAGCTTTCGTCAATTCGCACTTAGCAAAAAGGGCTTATAGAAAATTTTGTAACTCGCCGTTGACCATTTGACTTCGGTCTCTTCGGTCAAGCTTCGTTTTCTGTGGTTCGTATTGGTTCAAATAGCTGCAACTTGCTCGAGGCGCTTGTAAGTGGGGTGCAACTGGCTGGCAATAAATACACGCGTGCAGAGTATCTGGCGCATGCAGGGCAAATTCGAGCGCAGCAGCAACATGTGTACTGCCTCTGTGGGTGTGACTTTCCCGCGAAAGCATCCCTAGCGATGAGGTCACCACCACTACGGCCCATTTCCTCCTCATACGTATGTGAGCGCGTCCTTTGCGAGCTTGCGATCAGGGCCTAAGTTATCAGGGCAATTACCCTGTTTTGACTGAAATTATAGGGTGTTTTTTCTAGGAGCCCTGATTTTCACAAGGTTTTTTCCGGACCAGCCCGTAAAACTGAAGGGTGATTTTTGAGTCAGCTCGGATCTCTCCGGGGAGTTCTCAAGGGGACCCGTATAATTTTAGCAGACATGTTCTCCCCGACCTGCCTTGCATTCCTCTCGGTCTCCCTCTAAACACACGTTGGGCCAATTTTAGTGAATTTCCTAACCACTCTCTCCTTGTTGGCCTCCATGTGTCTGATTGCCCCGTTCTACGTCGACATGGCTTAGAAGGCCAATAAGGAGAGAGTGTCTGATTGCCCTGTTCTCCCGATGTACTCTTCCTCATCGTATTTTTTTCTAAGTCTACAAAAAGTATCTCGCTCACCCCTCCAGAGCCACTCCATCTCCAATCTCCCCAGCCCTCGCGCAACCCACTGTGAGTTTCCCGCGAAATTCTGGTAATGCATGTTTTCAGGCCTTTTCTGGCTCGAACCCGGATTCGTCAAGGTTTTTTTCCCGCTGGCTCGGATTTTACAGGGTCTTTTTCACAGGGGCCCGGATCGTCCGAGCTAGCAAAAATCCTAGCAATAGCCCTGCTTGCGATGCGATACAATGCGATGCGATCATGCAACCCAGCTTTGACCATGCTGCGTGATGCGCCCACCTTCAATAGTCACCCGATGAGTCAGACGAGTCATAACTTCCGATGGCTTCAAAATAGTCGTAACTTCCGTAATACACCTAGCCACCGCTATTTTCAACTTCTGACCTTGGCACTGTTCCCGATTTTCATGTAATCCCTGCCCAGCTTTTGGGGTTTTCTGTTAGAAACCTCGTTATAGGGGACTATGAATGACATCAAATGGAGATTTCAATCGGGCGAGTCCACAAATTTCGGCTCGTGTGGAGTCTGCTTGTTGTTGCGCATCCCATTGCGTAGCTTTCAGGAGTCAGGAACTAACTCTGCGTAGAGCGTATGACGTCTGACACAACCCTCGGTCAAAAACGTTTTGAAGGGTGCCTACCCCTTTGCACACGTGGGGGTTGAAGATAGACCGAAAGAAAATAGCGGTGGTTAGGTGTACATGAACGCATTACGTGTACAGAGCGTTGACGTTCTTTTCCTAGAACAAACTGTGACGACTTTTGGCAAGCATTTTGTTTTTTCCGGAACGACGACATGACACGTCGCGGTTTTAGAATGTGTGGAAGACGGAATTCGAGCAACAAGCTAGCACCCCTTTCGTGACCAAGCGAGTTTTAGACAGCACCCCCAGCCCCCCCGTCTCACCTTACCAAGCACCCTATTGTTTTCGCATCGCGTCGCAGCTTGCGCCCGCCATTCCAAGTCGAGTTTCAGTACGGCAGTTCCCTTCGAATTCAGAAATTAGAATCCGCATTAACCCTTGTTAGTATGGTGGCGTGACTTCGGGTGATAGAAGCAGCAGCAGCAGCAGCAAGCAGCGCCCCGCAAACATCCATGCCATGCCATGCCATGCTTGCCTGATCTGCAAACCGAGCCTCGCTGAGCGAGCTCGCATGCTCACAATGGGGCTTCCCGTCGCGAAGCTGCGGCTACATTTGTTAGAAAAAATCGCTCATCCCTTGCGTGCCTAAAGTTCGACCTGAGGAGTCCTAAGCATATCATATGCTGTTCACGAGAACCCTCCACTACTAGTAGCAGTATTCCCACCCGCGAGTAACTCTCACGCTATAACTCATTCCCAGTTTAGGGTTCGAAACCTGCCAACTACGAGTCGTCGCCGGTTTCCTACAAACGTTCAACCAAAATTTTAGAAGGCCGCGCTGATTGAGCTACCATGGCGGATCAATTGTCGCGCCTACCGCGCTGCGCCATTCGGGGTATTGACGTCTCGCCGCGGCCGCCTCAAGAATCTTCGCAGCTCCCGCAGCATCTGCGCCCCTCCGACTCCGACAAGACGGTATCACGCAGCGCCGCGGCGGCGTTCCGCCGAGCGCAGCCCGCGCGCCGCGAGCGGGCATCATCCGCGGAAGCGGAGGCTGCGCGGGCGGAACAAGGGCCGCCGCGCGTGGAGCCGGGGGCTGTACGCGCTAAGGAACTTGCGTTGCAACTAGAGCGCCTTGTTGCAGATTCGAACCCGTTTGGGCCCTCGCGAGGAAGCAGCAACGACGGCAGCGGCAGCGAAAGCGCCGCGAGTTCAGCTGGAAGTTCGAGCGCAATCTCGACGGCACAAAGCGCACGATGCGCGGGATCCGAGGGCGATGGCGCCACCGGCGGAAGCCGCGGCATTCGAAGGCGCAAGGCCGTTTCTGCGGCCGTCGCGGGCGCTGATATCGACAAAATCCGCAAGGGAGCGGACGACGGAAGCGGCAGCCGCCAACCGCGGAGGAGGAAAGGCGGGCGCCGCGGAAAGAAGGGGAAGAACAAGGCGGAATTGTGTCCCTGCGGCTGCGCGCGCCTGGTGCCGGCGGATGTTCTGGCGGAGCAGGAACGGCACAGAAAAACGCGGAGTCAGCCTTTGAATCCTCCGGCGAACGCGCGGCTATTCGGGCAACGCAGCGCTACGGCGACGAGTCCCTTCGAATCTCCGTTCCTAGACAGCCTCGTTCGGTCTCTCGCGTTCGAAGCGTCAAACGACAACGTTAAAGCTGGAAAATCTCCTCTCGTCCAGTGCCTAGCTAGCGATGGTTTTTGTGACAATAACGGGCGATGCAACGCGAGGGGTGATGATGCCCCAGGTGACACTAATGAGAGCGGAAATTGCACTGAATCTGGATGCAACGGTGTTGCTGGAGCGGTGTTGTCAACAACAAAACTCTCTGAACTTGAGCGGAAAGCCGATCTGCGTCCATCAGAAAACGAGCGAGAAACAACGGAGGAGCATATAGCGGGGAGTGACTGTAACGGCAAGCTTCGCGAGGAATCTCGACGACGGAATGATGATGAGGCGACGTCGCGGCTCGGTTCGCTGCGATT